GGAGGACGATGGATTGGGGGATGATGAGGAAAAGGAGGAGGGTTGCGTCGTATTATTATTTTCGGACTACCACCGATCGATAACAGCTCGCCTCGACCTCTTGGTGAGGTTTTTTCTTGGTTTTTTTATATTTTTTTTTAATACGGCCGCCGTTGTACCGAGTTATATACTATTCTAAATGTACAAGAAATTTGTACCGACGTTGTCTCCCCTCTCCTCACTCGATCCACAGACAACATCTTCCGCCGCTGTTTTCGTTGGCGACGAAATCCGTACATGGCGATATTGCTGATCGTTATACACACAACTCGCATTTATACACGTTTGAATAACATTTTCAATATTTTATTCTTAACGTGCGCTGCGCTTCGGTCATCGTTAATATGGTTATTATTTTTTCTGATTCTATCGGCCTCCGGCAACGGATTCCATAGGTCGGACGGTATACGTGGCAAGTTCGCAGCATTCGTGGAACAACGTAACCGCCGCAGTCTTTTGTCTATGCATGCATGTGTCGTATAGCGATAGAAAACATGGCGTGCGATTGAAGAGAGTGCAGATGATCTGGATAAATATAATATGTGTGAGTACAACAATGGCCGCTCTGGCAATGGCCAAAGTTGCAGCATATCGTCGCCGCATTCCTTTGCGTGTTATTTTCGCCTCTCTAACCCAAATTATTCGCCATCGCATTTGATGTTCGATAATTAATTCTAATGACTAAGGCGATAATTAACTGGCTCACCGTATAGACATAAAACTTGTAAAATCTTTTGTTGTCACAAAGTGACATATTGTTTATGATAACATGATCCTGATAGCCTCAAGCTGCATGATTTTTAGTTAGAATGTAGAGACTTATTTACTGAGGAAAAATTACCCATATTGGTCATTGGTATTCGTTTTAAATGACCTTTAAAAGTTATTGTTTCGAAAATAAAATATTATTGAGTTAATATGATCTATACTACGTCAATTTATAACATGTGGCTAGTTAAAACGTTTATAATTATCCAGTTTACATATTTGCAGATTCGGCTTAATACATAGTAAAAATTATTCGTAAATAGTTCAAAAGAATGGTATGCTGAATTAATTTTTTATCTTTTGTGCGATAAACTACTTGAAATTTTTTTTTTTTTTTGATTGGCAACTTTTTGTTTGAAAAGTAACATTAATGTTATTACTACATTTAGATACACTGAAATATATGTAACCAAGGTTACACGTAATAAAATCAACCGTCGACATGTGATTCATAACCACAAGCATTGGTTGTAGTGTATTGATATCGTTGTCGCATATTCGACAGTAACCTTTGATAGCTTTATCAATATTTCACTTAATTAATAATTAAAAATAAATGTTCGTATTGTTTTCTGTTGTCGACAATAAGTTTTTCTCATCTAACGTGTAATACGTTTAGGTCGATATTCCCAGTGTAGTAACGATACCAGTTATGAGTTAACCCAAATAACTCTTGTATATAATATTAATAAAAGCGTAATCGACATAGATATTGACGCGCAGTGATGCTACTGCGGACAGGTGAATTACCGTTGTAGAGGCGGGTTCAATTGGGATAATATTGCCAACTTATTGAATTTTCCTAACGAAAAGCAACGGTACCCACCAGATTACTGTACGCTAGTTCCGTTGACCCCCGACAGAAGACGTGTTTGTTCCGTTTTACTCTGGATAATAGATTTTTGGTTTAAAACTGCCGCCGCTGATAGTAGCAAACAACGGTGGTTTCATCGTTTTGTTCACTCGTCATTAACAGCTTGGAATTGTGCCCTTTATTAAGTTTGCGCACTTACTGTACCCATTCGTACGAACCTTGTATCAAACCAGAAACTTTTTCGAGAAATCTGTAGATTCGATGATGTTTGATAATATCCGTTATCGGACTCGTTATAAATTTAAATGTAATATTGGTGTGGCTATTGTTATAACTTTTGATCAGTTGTGTATTACGCCGACGACTTTCGAATTTGTTCGTTTGCTCTTTTACTTCTGATGCTAGTAGTGAAACAATAACGGGATATCAATAATTAATATTTCGTAGCTTGTCAGTTGTCAAATTTACATTACTCAGATGCTATACTTGAATGGTTTTAGCAAGAGAATTTATCCAATTGTAAAATTATATTAAGTAAAAATAACATTATTAAAAAAAAACTATTTGCTTAAAAATAATGTTTTTATCATATGTCATTGTTTAAAAAAATGTACGGATGTTTGTATAAATCGCGTTCGCCATTTTTGTCAATTGTGTTATAGCCGTAATGACAATCGTTGTATTATTGTATTGCGTAAGTAACTGTAACACGTAAAATATTCGACAGAGTGCTGATAACGTTAATTCAGAGCTAGCTGTATGATTGCTATTAAAAGTATTTGATTTTTTCGTGATAATAATTCTGAATTGGATGATTACATGACCGGCTGTTGAATTCAGTGGTCCTTAAGTAACTTAGAAGACGATTTTTATAATTATTTAACCAAATTTTAAATCATAAAACGACTGCATAGGATACAGTTTGTGTGTTTGTATACCTGAAATCATCTTGTTTTTGTTTGGGAACATTTTATTAAATCGAGTGCTTGCCTGTAACAGAGTAGTACCGGGTATAACCGCTGGGTGTTAGTAAGAGGGTAGTACACATAAGAGGAGGAGGGCCGTTTCCGCGTGTTTCTCTGGTGTGGCGGTCGCAATGTTTTACTTATGCATGGCCGCCGACGACACAACTGGATTTTATACACACACACGTACAAAATGTATAAAACGACGGAGTTTGCTAGAATAGCTAAAGAATCGATCGTTTTCTCTTAGCACCCGCCGTCCTGTAGTCTATGTATATACATATATCCCCTTCGCCACACTCTTCTATATACCTCTGGTCGTCGTGTCACGGAATCAGTCCATCTCATGGGCCTTGCCAGAGACGACGTCGGGGGTCCTGCCCTTTTCCTCACACTTGCACACAATTACAGAACTGCCTAATAAACGGCAACAATGCCACGACCTCCCCTCCGAATTATACTAACCCTCTCGATCCGCGTGTAAAACCTTGACGTAGAGTTGATGTTAAAACAAAATAACTCCTCTGCGGTCAACTTGTATCTTATTTATATACGTGTGCCCCGCCACCCACTCATCCGTTCGGCAGCTCACCGATCTTCACTGTTACACACTCCAATATAATAAAAAGAAATAATTGTGCGCATACTGGCAACGTCGCATGCATTGAGTATGTTGTGGTGCTCTCCGATCGCACACAATGATGGGATGAAAATGTCCATAATTATGTACACTAAGCCGACACTCATTCTTTTTCCATAGGAACCATTGGTAGAGACGCCTCTCTGCTTCCCTGTGATCTCTATTGCCGTAATGTGTCTCGTCGTTATAGTTAAGTAGCAGCTGGTGTCGTTTTCCGTGTGTTTCGTACATGTAATATTTTAAATATATTGTTTGTTGTATTTAAGTGTATCACGGTAACAAATCGTTTCAAATCAAATTTCGTTAAATCTTCCGATCATTTAGCGCAAAATGCCACGTAACTTAAAAATATATTTTTCTTCCTCGTCATTTTTTGCACACTGTTACCGGTAAACTTTAGCGATCATGTGAAATATAGCTGACTAGAAAATAAACATGAACAAACAATTCTCTATAAACATTTTTGTAGAATTATTCTATTATTGTATTCCCTCAAAGTATTTTACGATTTCTTCTTCACGGCATTTGGTTGGCTAGTGATTACTGTAAAATTATTATGATTACTAATTTATTTACGGTTACTGAGGATATAAATAAAATTAAAAAATTAAAAGAATTTGTTTTTAATTCATCCTTGTAGCATTCATTTGTTTTAAATTATCCAATTTGCTTATCTAAAACGAGTTCAAAGTTTGCTAATGTTGTTCTTTAATACAGGAGAAAAACTAGAAAATATTTAATGACGTGTGTGATACTACAAATAAGTATTCTTTATCAAATCTGAATGGCCGAGACTCAAACTCTAGTAAAAACTAGACACTCTTTGTGTATGTATTTAAATAAACTACTACTTAATATTTTTTTATAAAGTCTATAAAATTATACGACTACCTGTCGGTGGTGATTGAGTCAAGGGAGGCTCTGATTAGGTTGTTTAAGTGCGATAACCCAGTGATTATATTAATAGTAAAATGTTAGATTTCATATTATACATAATAGGAATAGTATCGACCGCGTACGCCGCCATCGCCCCGTCACTTAAATACAAAAACCGTCGCGTATAATTTGGTTTGCAAGCCTGATACGATTATGCGGTGGCGGAGGTAGCGGAGAGTTACCAGTAAAGTTGTATTGCAATGGCGGCGGAGAAGAGGTAAAAAAGACGGCCGAAAAAATAAAATGTTGGCCGAATGCTGATCCGATAAAATTTCTACTCATCACATCGTGTGTTCGTTGTCGTTAACACGTTTCTCATACAAAGTAGTTATTTGTACAATATATTAGTATTTTGTGATAAAAAAGAAACACTTATAAACTGCTAGTGCACGGTGAATTAACCGAGCGCAGTTGACCTTGAGCGGCCGACCCGTTTAAAAATAGGTTAGAAATTATTATTGTTACTTCTCTTATTCCTGCGACGACGACGACAATCACATTGAATATTTCAATCGCAACTTTATGCACACAATTAAAATTTAATATTTTGTTACCGTGTGTGTACCACCTTAAATGTCATCATAGGTTGCTACTGCGGTTAATGCATGTCCAATTATTATTACTTTATTGTCACATCGTTGCCTGTCGGAATTGAATCGTGATGGTGTAGATTATTATAATAATAGGAATAATAATAATAATCGCCTTTAATTCTTGTTTGCTCGATGGAAAATCCTATTTTTTGTTAAAAAAAAAATATATATAATATCGCGTTTTTCAGTTGATTTTATGTCGACAGTTTCTCTGATATACCGGTTTTTTGTGTTTTCTCGTTTAGGTGCTAGCGTCAAAATGGAGCATCACTTCCAAGCTGCACTGGATCCACGCAAACAAGAATTGTTAGAAGCCAGATTCATCGGCGCTAGAGTAAGTGGACATTATACAAACCATTTAAATATAACATAACGATAGCTGTAATTAATTTTGTTAAGTTAGGATACTAGTTGTGTTCCCTTGCGAATAATTATTGGAGAAGCTCGACTGATTTCGGTTGTGAACGCGCGAGCGCGTTAGGTTTATTTTTGATACTATACGTCCCCCGTTTGCTCTGTAAATATATGTCATTGTGTGTATGTATATATGAGTGACTACGCGTAATTGAAATGTAATTTAAACGCCTTGTGTATATTTTTTGAATGGCAACATAGCCATCGTCATCGTGTTTGCTCGATAAACACCGATGGCCGTCGCCGTATATTGCCGATGGAATTCTGGCTCATAGAAGACAAAAAAATAAATACGTAGGATTATTATTTTCACAATGTGTGTGTATACCGTGTTTTAAAAACAATCAGTAAATTATTATCTATTATCCCATGACTTATTGTTGAGAAACGGTTCATTATTTTTATACGCCACCTGTATTTGTAAAACAAGAGTTGGAGTCTGTTGAGAAAATAAAAACGATCGCAAGAGTCTGTTTGCGTCCATGTTTTTTGGGGTAAATCGTCGTACCCACCAGGAAACGACTTTTTTTTTTTATTATTATTATTATTAAATGAATTTCAAGGCAATCTTTGTGTCGTCATCTGCAGTGTTGTTACTGCAGAAATTAAGATTGTGACGACTTAGCAACGGAGAATTTTTTCGCGTTTTAATAGCTTGTAGTAATGATGTTTTGCTATTGCGGCCATTTCGTATTGATGCGCGTTAACACAATGATTTTCGATCTATTTTTAAAGTAGAAGAAAAAACACCACTCGTGTCGGTGCACTGGTTTGTCGGTTATTTATAAAATGATGATTGTCTAATTTACGTTTTTGCGGTAGGACGGCTTGTGCGCACTACGTGAAAGTTTCTAAATATTTTTTAATTGTTTTAATTCCTAGATAATTTTTTTTATTGCAATTTACCGTTTGCGCTCACGAGAGAAACTCCGTTTCAGTCGAGTTTTAATTTTAATTTTTCCTAAAGGTGCGCACGTCACATTTTGTTCTATCCCCCACGACTAATCTCAATTATTGCTATTTCCGAGAAAATAATAAACGTTCGGTCAAAACTTTTAGTTTTCTCTTGTCAACGAAATGATATTATTATGTAAATGTAAGCGATTGTTGTTTCGACACATTCCATACGTTTGACTTGGTCACGTTGTCTAATAATAGTTATTATTCATGCTAACACGGCATTCGATAACGACCAGAATTCAAAACAAAAAATAAAATGAAATTTCTGTTGGTTTATGTTTCCCTTAAAATCGACGTATGTATTTTGTTACGACTATGATTGTAGGTATCATTTCTCCGAAATGTTGCTAAAATCTGTTGGTTCGCCTTATCATTGTTGCAACATTTTTGGCTCGTGCGCAATTCGGTCGATGACTTCGGGTCAGAGGTATCCTATTTAATTTACTGGGACAATGGCGCGCGGAAAATATGAGCGTTTGAAAACGGCCGAGAGTTTTTTCTATTATCATGTTTGATTGTTCGTGAATATTGCAAGTCTCGTATTTTTCCCAAGCAATTATTGACAACATTTAGTTTTAACTAATTTCTAGTTTCGTTGTAATTCGTTATATATTGCGTTGTGCTTTTTTTTGTTCTATTGTTGACTGGGATTCATCCTTCGGGTAACATTCGGCGGCCGCAGCTTAAAGTGAAAATCACCGGAGCGCCGCGCCGCGGTATTCGCCGCAAACTCTGCCACCGGCGGCGGTGTGAAATAATGGTAATAAAACGCGCGCGTAATAATAAGACCGCCTATAGGACTCGACTACTAGAATACAGTTTAATGTGTTGTAGTGTGTGTGTTTGTGACGACTACGAGACAGTGTTTCGTTTGTGTGCGTGTAACCACCACATAGTTGCGAGTGCGTTCGGGTCTCCTCTCGTTTTCCTCTACCGACCAGCCGACTTTTACTCCAACGTTCGTGCGTGTGAGGTGAACAGCAAGCAGTAGTGGCCGGACGAGCGCGCGGGGTCACGAGTAGTGTATTTTCTCCACCGCTCCTCTTCGTCGGCTGTGTCCGCCTCGTCCGTAGTCGGATGCTGATGCTAGTGTTTGCCGCTCGGTATTTTATTGATCACACCCAAAGTTGTCGGCCGTCGGAAATTTTTGAAAAGTATAACGGAAGAGACACACAAATAGTCTTGACTTCCACCTGGCGTGTTGTGTTGTTGTATCATCGTGGTCGAGGCATGTGCCAACCCCGCACGACAAGTTGCACTTCCGCGTACTTCGGCGATGGTCAAGTGTCGTAGGGCTGCGATCGGAGCCATCGACACTTCTTCCGTGTTGTGCCGACGCCGTCACAGTTTCAACGGTGTCCGACTGGCGGATACTACGGAGTCGCAAAAAAAAACTAGGAAACGATGGGTAATAAATGATTTCAACGTGTATTAAATGATGTTAGTGTTTATACGGTGTACAGATGTTGCGAATTCGTTCGGTGCCCTGTGTGCATAGTAGTAGTGTTGTAATAATACATCGTGAGTTATTATCAGTGCACAGTATAGTGTGAATAGAGTTATAAATGATAATGTGCACACATACATAAACTTTTACGAACGCACGAAAGCGACGTCACACGAGCACAGTCGAGTGCTCTTGGTAGCCGCCGCACCGGTGCTGCTTTCCTCTAGTACTATATTTTTAGCTCTATAACATACGTATTATTATACGCTCAAACGGTGCGCTCAATGGACACGGTATTTATGGCACACCAGTACGGTAATACCGTATGACGTAGTAAACGTCGTACGATTGGTGGGCGTGAGAGAGTGCGTGCAGTGTTATGTTGTAAGCAGGGTCGTGTGCCATTCATGCTCACAGTCAGTTTGTCTGTGGGTTTGAGAGGCGTTCGGCCACGTGATCGGCCACCGCTGCTGCTGCTGCTGCCCGGGTCCTGTTCTAGGTTGTTGACAGACATAACCTGCTCCACGGCCGATCAACCGACGTGCCACGTAACAACGCATACAGAGCGATCGCTGTTGACACTTTATTTAATACTTAAAACGTTAATTGATTTTAATTCTGTTTCTCATAATATTATTGGTTTATTTTGCCAGTAAAATATTTTTCACCATTTAAAAATATATATATATATTACTACCCAATTATCATTAATTAATGTGACGTTTTTTTAAAAACTGACAATTAAATTTTAATTGTTATATGATCCAAGTATTCAACCACATTCTTGTGACTTGGGAATTTACATTACATTTTTACCTCATTAATCTTGCGCTAGTTTAACAATATTACAAAGTTAATATATTCTTAATCATTTTAATAATTATCAATTTACATTTCGATTATTTTAATATTTGTTTTTAGTATAATTTCACCATTACACATCTTTTAGTATTGTGTGTGTGTGTGTGTTTTATGGATTTAATCGTTAATTTGCAAATAGATTGACTTCCTGTATTGGACATAATCAACCATACTAAATGCTTTTAATTTCTACACGATTGTTATCAGTAATATTATAAATAATTCATAAAATCTCATTTTTTAAAAGATAAAAATATAATCAAATTGGTTAGGTAGGCTAAAATAGTTTGTTTTGTGGTTGCAGTGGTCGGTTGCATTCAGTGATCTCACTTACATACATTGATAGTACATTAATACAAACGTATTCATATACATCTCGATGATAACATACAACGCTTATAGATACACGGATACTGTACATAGCAAGACGAGGAACCCGTCGGACCGGTTCTAATAGGTCTAGGTTCCATCGTAGTGTTATTAAAAATATTTTGTGTATTGTTCGCTAATTAGATGTTTAGATGATGTGTGTGTACTACTTTCATCATCGATTCCCCACTAAGAACCGTATATTAATAACACAATTACTTGCCTGGTCTATACAGTGTATTTAAAATTTGTGGTCGGCGTCATCGTAGTTTGTAGTATTTATAGGTTCTGTTGGTGGTCACGGAATGTTCCATTACACAAATCTTCTTTTCGTCTCCCTCGTCATTTGATCTGTGTACCTCTCTTTTCTTCCTACGTTTAATAACTCATAAAAGAAGAAAAAAAAACATGGAAAAACAACTTAGTACATTTTCAGTAGATGTCGGCGTGGGCAGTTATTTCAACTACATAGTGATTGAAAATTATATTCTTATCGTAAATGTTAAAAATAATTTTTACCATTCGTAACACTCATACATTACATGTCTAAATTTTTTTTTTTAAATCATTCATTGCTTAAATAAATAAATGTTGGTTATTAATTTTTATTTCGTGATAGCTGTTATCTTTTTCGTATGATTCTAGCAACGTGTAGTTTATGTACCGTAAGTTAGTCGCGTCGTCTCTAGCTCCTTGCACATCTCACGTATAATAATGTGTTGCAGTTAATTTTTTTACTCATTTTCGCTACTCGAATCACCGTTAACCCAACTAAGGGTCAAGGTTCGTTGACTTTCGAATTGAATTTCCAAAAACGCTGGTCGTTACAATCATTATTCTCTATCATGTGTTCATTTATTAACTAATTTATTAATTTCTCCATGTCCACGTTTGTATATAATATCAAGTGGGCGACCGTTTGCATTTGGTACTTTCCGACACATATGGACATGGAGCAAATACGACATACTCACTTAGTCTTTCTGCTGTGTCAATGTACTTGGAAATATTTATTCGGAGAAATATTCTGTGCGACTTCAGCTATCTAAAAAGAAATAGGTTAGAATTTACCGTAGTATAATTGGATAGCTTGACCACCTTTGATATATATTTTTGGCAAACTTCGTCAGATGTAATATGTGAATCAGTTGTGTCTTAACAGAATCGTATTATGCCTTTATGTACGTTTCTATTTTATATTTTTAATCAACTGGAAAAAAGTTTAATTATTTGATAGCGTATATTACTGACAAAATGTTGAGCTATAGTTATTAATTTATTTAGTGTTTTGATGAACTAAGGGAAAAAGTAAGAGCTGATTTCAAACTTATTTAACTGAAAAATTGCATCGTCTAAGTAAAAAAGTAATGTTTTTTTAAATACTTAAGGAATTGAAATGACATTTAACTATACATATTTTTCATTTATACTTTAATTAATATATTAATTTTCATTAGAGCGAACAAAAAAAAAAAAAAAAAATTTATTATAAATATCAATAACTTCATAGATAATTTTATTATTCGAGTAAGACTTATCAAAAAAACAGGATAAAAAACTACCACTTAAAAAAAAACTAACAAACAATGAAGCTTGGAGCCTTAGTTAAATAAATAATAACATTAAACGCAGATTTATAGAATTATCTCTTGACATAGATATTAATCCACAATAATTATTTTATTTAGTTTTTAATTGAAGAGATTTCATCGAGTACTATTAAGTTCTCTAACATTTATCTTAATATTAAATATTTGCACTTGACAAAAATATTTCAAAATTATTTTTTATTTATTTATTTTAATTCTTAATGTGTTTTATTATATAGATCATTAATCCAATTATTTCCTTCGATAAGTATTCATTAATACAAATTTGTTACAACATAATAATTTCAATTTATTCGCAATTTCGTATTGACGTGTATAATAAATAAAAACTGTTGCAAGTAGAGTGCTTTTTGCGATAAAATTATTCAACGATGTCCATTACTTGAATCGCTCTGTATGCGTTTAAAGCGGCGGCCGGTTTTGTTTTGCCCGATTGTTATCTGTGCGCACTGTGATAAAGTGCCGGCGGCAGCGGTAAAAAAACAATATACACACCGTTTAGCGCTCGTAGTAGTACACTATAGTCGAGTGCACTGTCGTTCTCATTTCGATGGCGCTGTTGTTCCGTGTCGGCGGCCAGACGACGACCGGGTTTCAATGCGCTTACACCCTCCTCTCGGGCCTGCCGCACAGTCGCTTATGTTATTGTTGGGTAATCAAAACCGGCATCACCGCCATCTACCGCCAACCGACACCTCCGTGTTTACGGATGATGATGGACCTGAGGATAGTGGAAGTGAGAGGGTGGCGTTACATTTATGTTCCGCGCCGCGTGCCGCTGCGAGTAATAAAACGCTCGAGCCTGATCCGCAGCAATGTTGCCACGCTCACCACCTCCGTCGTCGTAGTTTTACTCTTTTCTAATTAAACCGCTTTGTGTCAGTGTTCGTACGATTGTACGAACTGTGTACTCCGCCATTTTGGATAACAATAATTGAAATTACATATAAAGTATTCATTTTATTTCATTCACTTTATTGTGCTTATTCTTATTTGTTAGTATTGTTGCTTCGGTGGTCTATACATAATGTATTCATTATTAATTTGATTCCCTTTTACTAAATAAATACATCACGTAATAATTGATACTTATTTTAAAACAAAAGTATAAGTAGTGTAAAGTCAGAGATTAATTCGTGATCTACCAATATTTATACTGGTTTGATTTCCATTAACCAACAGAAATATAGACGTTTTTTAAACATCTGCTAGTGGAAATTGAATAACCGTTAACGGCGTCAAACAAAACCTAGCCAAAATTAATAACGGCTTTTTTTTAATGTCCGTTTTATAAAATCAGCTGCTCTTTCGCGAGTAGTTCAAACATCTCTGGTCTGTTGCTAGACTGGAGATTGTTTTTTGCCGTTTTTGTTAACTTATTTAGATTAGTTAAGTTGGAATCTGACGGTGTTGCCTATGGCCAGTTTGCTTCTTTGGTTAATTCTGTCGAGTCTGATAGGTCTAACAAATACACGGTCTCTTTTTTTAACGATATCGTTCCTGTTGCTAAAACGACCAAAGATTCTCGTATCTCTCCTTAGCCGAAGATATTTATAATGTCCTTGTGGTCTGACGTATAAATTATTCACTTCGTTAAACCAACATGGTGGATGTACGTATCTACCATGTTGACCATCACGAATAGAAATAACACAACGATGGATTTACACTACACAATCGAATACATGGAATGCGCACATCTGATATGTATATGAGATCATGGGTCGATGACCCGTTACGGCCGTGTCTCTTCTGTTCGCCGATTACCTGACTTGGCCAGTCGCGTATAGCAGTTCTAATAATACATTGGATATGTTTGACGCTATTATTATTGATAGGCGGCGGTAATGACAACTGCAGCTTTAATAACTTGCATGCACCTTGAGGTTTCCAACAAATCGTGTATTCTCTCCATTTGAATTAATTGAACAACCTGCTAATCTAAGCAAAGAAGTCAGACACCGTAAAACGCATATGGCTAAAGAAAAATTGACAGCGTGTGTGTGTTTAGCCTAATCATTTAATTTTGGTCGGTTGGTTCTCAACAATACTGTTTACAGTGCTGGGATAGAGTCGATGAGAAGTTTTGTGTGCCCGGAAGGGGATGGACTGTGGTTTAAAGGGTTAGTGGTGGAGGTGACTGTCGTAACGTCTGTGCAAGTTTATATTTATATGTGTGTGTATACATATACAAAATCAATAGTTCGCTCGGGTTATACATGTAAAAGGTGGAAAATCGAGTACGGTCACAAACACACACATGTGTTTTTGGGAGGTTTGCATTTGTGACGGTTGGCGGAATAGAGGATAGGCTTTCTTCTAATCGATACCCCTCCCTCCGCTCTCTTTCCGTTGCCATCAAGCATTTCGTCGTCTCTGCCAGAATCTTTATAATAAAATTTAACTTGGTTTGGTCCCTTGAACGACAACTATGTGATGGTGTTATTCGCGTATCATCTCATTCGGGCAGATCAACATTCACAACCGAACACAAATCGGTACCTAACGCGTTATAAATCCTTTCTTCTCGATAGGTAGTGAAGGGCATTATCGCCAATTACATTGTCCATAGAAGCGCAAAAAGGTGGCCGACCTATGGCGGTGGGAAGTAAGAAGAGCTCGGTCAACGTCACTACCTCTGCCACCACCCTCCGTACAAACCCTTACGACTGTCTTATAAGAAACTGACAGTTTGGCAACGTCGAAATTGGGAGGCTGTGATGCCCGGCCGCGTCAGCCAGAATACTGCGTGTGTAACACCGGAGTATAACAGAAATGTATTCCCCCCTTACCATAACCTCATGGTCTCTATTGTGCGTTTATCTTTATGTATGTATGTTTATATATACATGCTATTCTGCTATATATGCTATACTCTGTATACTACCACCGTTACCATCTCTCTTCCTTCCACGATGGTGTACACATCGATTCGTTATGAGCAGACAGTGTTGACAATCGACCGATTTCATACTCTCAAACTCGATTACGTTTTTATATACATTATATTATTTGTACTCATGGCCACCCAAAAACAATAATGATCGAACGCGCCCATTTTCCTTGTCGAGACTATCATAATATTCTTTACGTGTTTAACGAAAAAACGTATACAAATTACGTATATCTGCTAAAAATAACTTATTTTTCAGTATTAGTTCTGAACCATCCCAAATGTATTCTGTTTCACCGGAACAAAAATGTTCTAGTTTCATATTTGCTATTTATTCGAAACACAGTTTTTAACTGATATATTAGTTAATAAGTGCAATCACACTGTATGAAAAACAAATAAATATGCCAACTAAATAGGTTGTAAATTCATTTAAAAAATTGTCTCGAGATCTATTTAAGATTCTTTTCGTCATGGTTACAGATGTCTGCCGGCACACAGTTGCAGATGGCTCCACAAGCTGGCCAAATGCATATACCACATCCTCAACCAGGAGGAACCATACATAGCCAAGACTCTAACATGAGTACGGGCTCTTCCCATAGTGATAAGGAGCAAGATACCCCGGAAAAAGGTGGTGGCAATAACTCCATTACGCGCACGCCAACCGAGAGGAAACGCAAGCGGAAGATTGAGGACACGTCCAATAACAAACAACCAAACATGGGTGTCGGTCCTCCACCGCCTCCACCTAGGTTAGTGGACGGAAAGAAGATCAACGACTACTTTACCAAACATGGATCCCATCCCGTGTCGAATCCTATGAGACATGGAGGTGCTAAGTCTCCGTCCCCCGGAGGACCACCCCAACAAGGTTACCCAATGGTGTGTATTGATAAACTTTATTTCTGTTACGCAGCGGTGTATTTCACATTTCGTCTTGTTTTTTTTTCCTTATAGTTTAACCCAGCTGGTGGACAGCAAGCTTTGAGTCCAGTCATTACTCCAGACTATGTTTCTATGCTCCACCCTCCTAGGATTAATTCTAGTTCCATTACGAAATGTATACAGACTGATTTAACAAGTCACGCGATTCAAGAATTCGAATGTCAGGCTTCTTCAGATTTGGAAATTAGAAATAATAAAATCGATGAATTAAATAGGGTAAGCTTTAAAGAGCGAAAAACACAACTAATTTTTTTTTATAATTTTATTACTCCAAATTTATAATAAAATTTTTGAATAAATAATAATTTGTTTTTTGCATTTGTGAATTTAGACCAATGAAGAGTTGAAACATCAACTGAGTAGTCAACAAAAAGTTATTGAACAGCATAAATCCCACATCAATAAATGTATAGACGTGGTTAAAAAACTTTTGAAAGAAAAATCCAACATTGAAAAGAAAGAAGCTCGACAAAGGTGCATGCAAAATAGACTTCGACTAGGACAATTTGTCACTCAAAGGGTTGGAGCTCAATTTCAAGAAAACTGGACTGATGGTTATGCGTTCCAAGAGTTGTCTAGGTATGTTAAATGCTTAAAATATTTAATTATGTTATAAACATTGAATTCACTAGTATACAGGGTGATTGATTAAGGATTAGATGCTAATGGTTTCAGGAACTTTTCAATATTTTTAATTTTTATAGAAGAAAAAATTATTTGATTCAAAATACTCAACAATAATATGTAGTTAATCAAAAAATTTTTCATTCCCTTCAGATATGATAATAAGAATTATCAATAAAAATTTGTTAATGTGACATAAAGCTATGATTACCACTGTATGCTAAATAGCAAATTATAATTTACTATTTATTATATTGATAATTATCAATAGACTATTAGTTAAAAACACCACGCGTTAACAAGCAATAACAGAACAATTCATTGAATGAAAAATATAAGATCAAATGTTTTTTTTTTTTATTGTATAATTTAACTAAAAATAGTAATTCTCATTAAATAGAATTAAAGTTTGGGTTTATTAACCCTGAAGAAATGAAAATAAAATTATGTTGCTACATATTAATGTATAATTTGTTGTATTACAAAAAAAAAAATTTCAATCAATCATTCTGTATAAGCAAATTAAACATTTTTTTCTTGAACTCTATGATAGGAAATGTTAAATTTATTTTCTTTAATAGGAGACAGGAAGAAATAACTTCTGAACGAGAAGAAATTGATCGTCAAAAAAAAATATTAGTTAAGAAAAGGCCATCTAATAGTGAAACTGGTGGTCGTAAACGTGCTAGTAGTCAGTCAGGTGCTAGTACAAGTAATTCCAGTACTAATAATGTAGCAGCGATCAATTCTACACCTACTTGTCCTACAACTCCTATAGTGTTACCAGTTGCAAGTAATATTAATAATAATCAAGTTACTGGTGCTACTACTGGTACAGTCCTCCACAATGGCACAGTAGCTCCATCATCTGCAATAGACTCGGCAACGTTCCTAAAACCAGAAGCTGTCCCTGGCTTATCATGGCAAGAATACTACGAGGCTGATGAAATACTCAAGGTATTTTGATTATTTATAGTTGAACACATGAATTTTAAATAATTTTCTTTTCATATCAATAGCTACGTCAGTCTGCATTAAAAAAAGAAGATGCTGACTTGCAGTTAGAAATGGAAAAACTTGAGCGAGAGAGAAATTTGCATATACGAGAACTGAAAAGAATTCACAACGAAGATCAGTCTAGATTCAATAATCATCCAGTATTGAATGACCGTTATTTGTTGCTCATGTTGTTAGGAAAAGGGGGCTTTAGTGAAGTCCACAAGGTGTGTATAAAGAAATTACTCTTTTGATTTTTATTTACTTATATTTATTTATATAAATTTATAATTTTTTCTCAGGCGTTTGATTTAAAAGAACAACGCTATGTAGCATGTAAGGTTCACCAACTTAATAAAGACTGGAAAGAGGACAAAAAGGCTAACTATATAAAGTAATTAAAGTTGAAACTTGTTTTTTGTTTAACTCTCTTTTTATAGAATTTATTGAAATTTTATTTTAAAAAATAATTAAATATATTTACAGACATGCGTTACGAGAGTACAATATACATAAATCATTAGATCATCCTAGAGTTGTTAAATTATATGATGTGTTTGAAATAGATGCCAATTCTTTTTGTACTGTTCTTGAATACTGTGATGGCCATGATTTAGATTTTTATCTTAAACAGGTTTGTTATAAATTTTATTCTACATGTCCAACATATTTAAATATTTGTCTTTTAAAACAGCACAAGACAATAGCAGAAAGAGAAGCCAGATCAATAGTAATGCAAGTAGTTTCAGCATTAAAATATTTAAATGAGATCAAACCTCCTGTGATACATTATGACTTAAAACCTGGTATGATTGGTATTAGCATATTTAATAACAATGTTTTGTACTAATTATATTTTTTTTAGGAAATATATTACTTACTGAAGGAAATGTTTGTGGTGAAATTAAAATAACTGATTTTGGTCTAAGTAAAGTGATGGATGAAGAAAACTACAATCCTGACCATGGAATGGATTTAACATCCCAAGGAGCTGGAACTTATTGGTAAATTTAAATATATTAATATTTATTTAGAATTAATATAATATAAAATAATTTTATTCTTGGTCCTTAGGTACTTGCCACCAGAATGTTTTGTCGTTGGAAAAAATCCTCCGAAAATTTCATCTAAAGTCGATGTTTGGAGTGTTGGTGTTATATTTTATCAATGTCTATATGGCAAAAAAGTAATTATACATTTATTTTGAAAATCCTAGATGTACTTGTATTAATATGATGCTATTTTTTTATATTAGCCTTTTGGACACAACCAATCTCAAGCTACTATTTTAGAAGAAAACACAATTTTAAAAGCTACTGAAGTGCAATTTGCCAATAAGCCTACAGTTAGCAATGAAGCTAAGGTATTTTAAAATGTCCTATAAATTTTTATTTAGAAACTTTACTTAATAATATTTTTTTTCTCAGAGTTTCATTCGATGCTGTTTAGCATACCGAAAGGAAGATAGAATTGATGTGTTTACTTTATCAAGGCATGAGTATTTGCAGCCTCCCTTACCTAAACATGGTCGGATAGCTAACAATCAACAACAACAGCAACAACAACAGCAGCAGCAACAACAACAACAACAGCAACAAATCTCAGCAGCAAATTTTGCATCTGGCATGTTTGGTAACATGAATGCTTCTAGCTCATCATAATACAATAATATGAAAGTTTTGATGAATTTTTATCTCAATGCCAAACAAATACGGTAAATTTGTGCCATTTGAGTAAAATGGAATGAAACATAATTGGCTTTAATTATCCTGCTATGTTTCTTAGTTGAACGGTTATTTTATCATTAATATTGTATAAATGTACTAGTCAAACTGTTTTTGTCGCCGCTGCGAATATGTTCCTGAGTACATTTATGATATTTATGTTTACTATTACCTTAAAACAAAATAGTGATATTTGTTTAAGATTTTTTTTCCTTTTGTCTATTATTCTGACAGAAAATGTACTGTACGCAGGAAATAATTTATAATTTATAGTAACAAATAAAACTAAGTTTTAAGAATACTTTTAAAAATTAAATAATGATCACTTAATTTTTGAAAACGTGAAAAGAAACAGTGTCTACTCATAATAATTTTATGATTTATTTAAATAATTGTCCCATCATCACAACCCTTTTTGCTTTGTATAGTTTCACCATTTTATTTCTGTAAATATATTTATATAAATATTTGTATATATTGCCTTTTTTTTTTTTTTTGTAAATGACAAGTAAATTCATTTTAAGAATTTCAATGATAAAAATGTTATTTAGTTTGTTTATTGTTAACACAAAAATGTTTATTTTGTTGTGATAAAAAAATTTGGAGAAAAATGAACATAACAATAAGGGTTTTCCTTTTTATAGAGGAAAACTAAAGGCGGTTTTTTTTCAAGCCAATGAGACTTCTTAATTATTATTTTAGACACATTAGATTTTTGTTGTAAGGTTTATTACTATCTCTAGTAATAATAAATATTGTATAATTATTATTGCTACTATTATAAAAATAATTTAAAAATGAATATAAAAACATTATTAAATTAAATCTTTCTTTTTTTTTTTTATGTACCCAAATTTCTTTAATGATACAGTGTTAATTATTAGATATTGCAAACCTTGATTTTTTAGATCAAACCATACCAAAATTTTCAAATATTTAAATGAACTCTAACTAAATATAAGTGTTTCTTTTATTTTAAATATAAATATTGTACTATATATTTAAGAATCTTAAGATATTTTTCAGTCTGAATTATTATTATTGCTTTAATAGTTAAATGATCAACATAATCCTCTAAATTCTTCACTTTATTTATTACTATTAATTCCTTAACAAATTTGGTCGTTTATTAAATTTATTCCGATAGATTTTCATCAATTTTCACTAATCTAATTTAAGAGTTTAATTTGATTATTTTCAAATTTAAGTTTGACTTAAATTTGAAATAGAAATACCCTGAGTTAGGTTTTGAAAACTGAACAGTTAATAAAATTACTAATTCATAAACGTGTTGCACATCAATAATAATAAATTTATACTTTAATAACACTTAATTGTGACTCTGCTATAACTATTGAAGTATGTTGAATAATGAAACAGCTAATGTGAAAATTAAATACAAGACGATATCTTGCCTTTACTTAACATTGTATTCTAGCGTATTATGCTAAGTAAGGTGGAGTCATCTTCATTGGCTACATATGGTTATTTTATTGTTTCATCATTATCTCCTTAATTTTTTTCCAACCATTTAGAGTAAGTTATACTTTACATTATTGATTTGACGACAATTTTACATCGGCTGTCGACCTTATGGCCTTGTTAGGTTTAAGTAGTAAGGGTATATGTCAGTGTAAGGACATCTATCCGAGAATCATCAGTAAACGGTGCAACTGAACATAAATGCTAAAATGGCGACTGAATAATCCACTGTTCATGTCATGGTCATGCAATTTTTATCACTAAATATTTCTCGGCCTCACTCCTACATATGTATACAAATGTTTGTAACTTCTAAAATACTAGTTCAAAATTTGACATCGACTTGTCATTTTCTTAATTAGAAAATTTTTTATTATATGAAATAGTTAAATATATACGTAGTCATTAAAAAACACCCTTTTTAGGTACAAGGAAGAACATAAAAAATATTTCAAAATTGAGTAAAGTTTGTATCTTAAAGACAACAAAAATGAAAATGATCAATATTTATATATTTCGATTAATTATGGGTTCACAAAAAAGATTCACCTGATATGGTAATAATACAGAGTGAATAATTTGTAATTGATCATTAGGTGTCTTCTAAAATAATTTTGTTTTGTTTTTACTTATCCAACTAATATATATTTTTTGATTTGAAAGTGGTTAAATACTTTATAGGTCCATCCTTTATCTCCTATAAAAGTAAAAACTTAATTTTTTAAATAGCAACATACATATTCAATTATCTCATAAGTCACCAGGTGGAAGGAGTATGATAGAGATAATGATAAAAAAATAACATGCATCTCACTTCCAGTCTAAATTAAAAAATGCCTAGGAAATATTGATTTACAAGTTGTTATTAAAAAAATTACAATTTTTATAACTTAATAAAAATATTTATGTTAAGTTAAAAAACAAAAAAGTAGGTACCCTTGAAAAGAATGTGATAAACCTAAAAAATACTTAACTACTTATAAATTGAGAAATAAACAATAAACAAAATAAATTTTTTTTTTCAAAATCATTATTATTTTAATTCGATTTTTTCTATTACTGTTATTATTAATTCATTTTGTAATACCGCAGACTATTTTCATATAATCTGTGGTAATACCTTGTGTATTATGTTTTTCTTTTTTACTATTTGTATAAAACACAAAAATATAATATTATAATTCTCTTGTTATACAATTTACATCACTGCTTATGGTAATTAGGAAGTCACATGATAATCACATTTCGTGATATTACATTATCACTTATTGGTTATCTCTATGAACCTCATGATATATGATTGCCGTTTTATTAATTTTATGATAATAAAATGTGTAATTTTGTTGATTGATTTCTGTAATTGATATTACATTATTAATTATTTTTTTGTGTAATATACGACTATGAAAACATTTTACTATTTGTTAAAATAGTCGTACTTAAAATAATTTAATAGACTGGCCTTTAACCTTTTTAAAAATATTGAACTACCATCAACAATTCCTGCTAAAATTGCCTTAAATTGTGATTAAAAATGTTTTATCGTTTTAGTACCAAATTAGAACCTTTTCGCTTAGTTACTTCTAATGTAACATTTAATAATTTAAATGATTTCTGTTCCATATATTCGACACATAAAGGTAATTTTAGTACTACTTCCAATAATTTTATTGGATTTAAGGATATGGAACCCAAGAAATGGTTGCGATATAATGAAAAAATTTTTTCTCCTCAAGAGCCAAATGAAGAAAGAAGACCAGCAGTGAGTAATTCTTGATTTAAATTGATATTTATTTCTAGAATATTACATTAATTATGTTTTAGTATGTATGTCATCAAAAAACAAATATTAAATATAGTCCTAAAAAAATGTGGTATGTTGCTTGTTTTGTAAGAGGTATGTCTGTTGATGAAGCTCTTAAACAACTACCTTTAGTTGGTAGAAAGGGAGCCACAATTGTTAGAGATACAATTTTAGAAGCTCAAAAATTAGCTGTTGAAAAACATCATGTTGAATTTAAAACCAACCTTTGGATCGGTAAGAAATGGTTTTATTATTTTACTTTAAACTTCTTAATATGGTAGAATTACTTTAGTCTTAATAACTGATATACAGAATTTTTCCAATTTGAGGCTAAGGACCTTTTTTTTGATTATTTTCTATTTTTACTAGAGGTCGCAATTACACCTGTAATGAACTATACGGGTACCCGTGTTTTTACCTATGACGGGGATAAAGCCCGTGTAGTAAAAATATCCGTGTATACCCAGGCATTTAAATACCCGTGACCTTAAATACTAATATATTTAAGTAAAATTGTATTTCATATACAATATATATTGTATATTGTATAAATATACAATGTATGCATGGGTATTAAATACACGGGCTTTAATATATGTTTTGGCCGTGTTCCCAGGCTCCGTGTATTCTAATACCCGTTCACAATCGCGACCTCTAATTTTTACTAGTGCCAATGGGAGTGTTATAGTACAGCCAGTAATCCATCTATGTACATCACTGCTGATATGGAAAAAATCTTTCCTTTATCTTATATAGTAAAAAACTATTTACTTAAATGTTTCTAATATCAATATTATTTTTAATATTAATTACTTTACTTATAAAAGTCTTATAAGACTTAATACCAGTTTTATAAGAAAATAGTCTGAAAAAATTATATGTAAAATTTTTTATAATATTTAAAAATATATTAAATATTAATTAACAATGGTTAATTTACTAAATTGTAAAGTTGATCAAATTTGAATCAAATATTTTTTTTGAAGTTTATATTTAATAAATAAAAATATTTATACAATTAAAAATAATAGTATTTTGAAATACTCAACTTGTTATCTTTGCTTTATAGTATAAAATATGTAATAATAAATTTGTTTAACATAAAACAATACTTTATATCATTGCTATTTTTACTATTTTACTGCTTTAGTTAATTAACAAATGATCTATTTGAGAATATGACTGATCAGTAACAACTTTTGACCCATTATTTTGGGTTATTAGGATTAACTAGACATTTAGTAGCAAATCTGCAAATGAAAATATCATGCTCAGATGTTTAAGCATAAAACTCAGTTATGGGTGGTGTTTAGTGTTTGTCATTGAAATAGTGATACTTCATCATAGTCTAATACGGGTAAAACAAGACTTTTGTATGTTTGGAATATAATTTTCTGGTTAGCCTCCCAAGATCAGTTAATAATTTATTGTATGTTACTCAATCTTGTTGTTGCTATCTATTTTACTTCTTTAATGTGATACATTTAGCTTAGTTTGTAACTCATTTATAACTATAATAAATAAAGTAACACTTTTACTAGATCCTTTAAGAATGCCGTTTTGGAGAGTTTATTCAGAAAAATGAATATCATTTTATTAAAATGGAGTGATTTTTTAAAAAATTGAAAATGTATTTGAATTTTATTAAAATTCAGTATCACCAAATCATATCATATGCATTTTTGATATCTATTGAAGTTAATAAATATGTCATTTTTTATTTTTATAATTTTTAGTTATATATATATATATGTATAAATTATTATTGATAAATCTTATGAACTATCTTTTTTCAGCTGAATCATTTTGTACAAAAGGCCCTGTCATTAAAGGTCTTCGTAGACATGCAAGAGTACAACTTGGTGAAGTCATGTATCGGTATTGCCATTATTTTATAAGACTAGAAGAAGGTGAACCTCCAGAAAACTACTATTATAGTTGGCCCAAGACTGGACCAGAATTATTAGCTCAATATATTGATGAAATTAGAGATCGTAGAATAGAAAGTTCATTGTAAGAATTACTTATAAAAAAATAAATAGAAATAAGAAATGTACATTTATAATATTTTATCAAAAAAAATATTTTTATTATTTATTACATAACAATCAACAATACAAATTGTTCTTAAAAAAAATATATAGGTTTTACTATATTTAATAAACTCAATGGATACTTAATTTTGTTTGGCCAACAAATGCGTTAGGTGTACATAAATTAATATTTTCTTTACTGTGTTTGATGCCGTAACTAAAATAAATTCCTAATCCTATAAAAATAAACAAATATTTTAGGTGTCATTATAATCTTGATATACAATGTAATCTTTTAAGAATGGTACTCTCATTTTTTTCGTTAAATAATGAATTTGTAAATTTAAAGTTTATTGAGAGGAAAAATTATTTTTAAGGGTAGATTTTAGAGGTAACTTTCAAAAGTTTAATGAGAACTTATTTTTATTAAATAGAGAATTTTGAGATATTAGTATTCAAAGATATAGAAAAAGTTAAGAGTGTTGTAGTCTTTAGCAACACTCTATTTTTATCATAGCTCACAGATAATAATTCTTTAACATAATTCACCCCTCTTGCCTAGAATTAAAAATTACAATAACTTAAAAAGTAATAATATAATCCTGGTTATTGACCAGTCAAAAATGTATTTAAAACCATACTTCATTTAATAGTAAAAAAATAAGAATAGGTTTCCATTTAACATTTGAAAGTTACTTCTATAATCTACCTTTAGAGATAATTTTTATTTAAATTTAATATTTACAATAATTCATAAAAATAAATCAAAGTTAATTTGCATATTTTTATAAAAAAATCTTTTATTATATATAAAAATTTTTTCTAAAAAAATCATAATTCAATGGAAAAATGGTGTATCTTTCTTAAAAAAACTGTAGTATATATATTATATAAAGAGTGAATCAGATCTAGATAACAATACTTATAACTTTTGATCATTTCATTTAAATTTTTTAAACATTAAAAACATATTTTTTATTATTTGTTCTTCATAAAAACTATATAAATCATTTTTTTATTTTTTATTTTAAAATAACCATTTTTTAGATATTTTCTTACAAAAAATATTTATGAGTGGATAAAAACTTTAAAACAATCATTTTAAAAAATAAAGTAGATATGTATTAAAATACTTGTAACTCAATAAGTAATTCTTTTAAAGTTGTTCCCATCGACATTTTTTGTAAAAAAAATCTTAAAAATGGTTATTTTGAAATTTTGAAAAAAAAATATAATTCATATTATTTTTAATAAAAAATATATTTTTAACATAGTTTAAAAATGCAAAAATTATGAATAAAAAATTAGATAAAATAATTTTTGTATCAAAAGTTATAAGAGTTGTCAGTAAGATTTGGTTCATTCTGTTTATAATAAATGAAATATGTACCAATGGCCATCCAAACTATGAACCTTGTCCATGTATAAATGTCAAAGAAAAACATCAAATAAACATTTATAAAAATACTTAACGCAGGAGTAAATGGTACAAATGGTACCTAAAATGTATTAAAAATTATTTTACTAAATTACAGTTTTTTTTTTTCATTAAAAAAATATAACATTTGTTTTACTTTAAATGTAACTGGTGTTTTTGATGTTGGTTGTAGTCCTATAGATATTAATTGTAATATCATTATAACTATTAATACTTGTGTAACTGTCCATTGAATTCTATCTAATTCATACCAATGACTTAAATAAAGACTAAGTGGAAGACATAGAACAGCTAGACACAAAATTATTTTTTAGATAGATTTAAGGTATAATAAATATATTACTTACTAAAACATGTAGTTTGGAAAGAAGCAACATAACTTGTAAGACTATTAGACCGTACAAAATTATTATAATTGAAAAGCTGTTTCAACACTTGTTTTTTACTATAATTCACTTTTAAAGTAGTCAATGTAGTGGATTCAATGTACTCATCAGCTAAAATATTATCATAATCCAAATCACTATCTTCACGATATCTGCATATAATTAGGAATTTAAAGAAATGTATTATAATGAAAAATTTTTCAATGAGGATAAATATAATTTAGTTAGAAATATCAAAACTAAACATATAAATTCTGGGAGTTTTATTTTTCATACCTTGTAAAAAGTACACATATAGCAACCATAACGTAAACAAGAAGAGTACCTATAGTCATCATATCAACTAATTGTTTAAGATTTAATAACGCTGCGAAAAATCCTAAAAATCAATATGAAAATTATCAAAAAGTAAAACCATTAAATTATAATTACCAAAATACCTGTAATTATTCCAGCAAACATTGTACCAACAAATGGTGTCTTAAACTTAGGATGAACTCTTCCTAAACCCTCATATATCAAACCATCATTGGACATGGCATATAAAATTCTTGGTAATGGGTACATGGCTCCAAACATACTAAGGAGTTTATCAGTTACTTAATTTTTCCATCAACTTATCAATGTAATTATTTTATTAAATATTTTTTACCATGCACACATTCCAAAAATAGCTCCAACTCCAATTATCCATTTGAACATTGACCATCCATACACATCAAATACATGGCTGATTGGAGAATCAGCATCCTACCATTTTACTAATTGTTAATTGTTATAAAAATAATTTAATTTAAAGTGTCTATTTACTTGATTATAGTAAGGTATCATTAGTGTTAGTACTGCAGAAACGCCCGAATAAGCAATAAAAACTATGAACAATGATAAAATAATAGCTAAAGGCAGTGATTTTTGAGGATTCTTTACTTCTTCTCCAGATGAAGCTATACAATCAAAACCAACAAATCCATAAAAACATGTGGCTGCTCCTTGAAGGGCTCCTTGGAAGCCATAGGGCCAAAAGCCTCCTTCTCCTGCCCAACTTGGTACTTCAGCTTTAGGCAATGACCAATTTTTAAAATCAACTGTAAATTATTTTTAGTATTAACTAACTTAGAGTATATTTTATTTTAATGTTTGAATACTTTAAATAATAAATAATAATTACTATGAAATGCACCGCCAATGATAACTAAAACCATTATGGCGCAGTTAACTAGTGTAAAGAAATTGTTCAAACGAACTGAATCCTTTAGACCACAAGCTAATGCAGCTGTAAATTAAAATAAACATATCAGTATATTCATTTCACTACGATATTTAAACAATAAATTAGTTTAGTTTGTTGTAAGAATTTTTTTTACAAACTTAAATATTAAAGTTAATAATATTTTCACTGTATTTTAACGTAATAGCCAGTTTACATTCCTCAAATAATTTTTTAAACATTCTAAGTGTACCAATAAAAGTATTTCTCCTTTAAACTACTTATGTTTGAATTATATCAATTTCGCATGATTATTCAGTAATTTTTTTAAGTTTAAAAACCACCTAATATTTCCGAATCTAATTTTTTAATGATGTAAGTGAAACACAAATTCATATAAATATATTAATTGGGGGTTTGCGTTAACATTCCTAAGATTCCCACTTGAGATCATCAATTATGTATGAATTTTAAATAGATTTTTAAACATGTATAAAATTTAAATAGGATTGAAATGTTTTAAAATCTTGCATAGTATCTATGAATAACAATAAATTATATTAAAGCCAGTATTACGTTGTGTTTATACATAATAGTTAATTTATACATCAATTTATTGCTACGATGATGTTTTCTATTTTTATTTTAAGTTTTTAATACTATGACCTGTTACGATTTTAATAATAATACATGATAGGTAAGACGTCATAAAACAAAAAAACAAAATACTAAATGAACTGTTATTGCATTATTTATACATTGTGAAATTTATTTTTGTTGTTAATATAATATTTAGACAAAGGGATCAGAGAAACAAAACCAAATATATAACATACAGGGTGTTCAGTAAGTCAGGAAACGGGTTTCTATTGTTCTCATTGATACAAACAATGAGAACAATAGAAACCCGTTTCCTGACTTACTGAACACCCTGTATAAATAAGGCATCATGTCTCAGTCAATGGGTATAGTAAACAACTATATGACGTCTCTACATTAATTTTTTATTGGTATAATATTAAATAAAACTACCAGAACTATTGAAATTCTTTATAGTAGCAATAAATATATAATTATGTGTAGTTTATTGGTAACTATATGTCAAAGAGTATTAATTCAATAAATTATTTTATTGATATAAAAGAAAATCAAATGACACAAGTTACTATCTCACAATAAAAATTTTTAAAGGATTTTGGGAACCACTAAATATTGTGTAAAAGACAATTTTCATGTATTTAAAAAATATGGCAAAAGCTATTTTCGAGATTTTCTAACAAATAATTACCGGAAAAGTAATTAAAAAGTAAGATTAAAAATGTCGTGCTAGCATAAAGATAAAATAATTAAAATTGTATTATCAATTAGCTATTATAACTTTTTAAGAATACGGAGTGGTTATTTTTTTTTCTTTTATTAAATCATATCCTATTGTAACAAACTATTAGGGACGAGTGATTTCTGTCCATCGCAACACTTACTACATGGGAGTCGGAAACGTATCCTTATTACAAAATTCCAAAATAAAATATCCAAAAACGAAGTTCTAGTAACTTAGCAAAACCATTTCTAAATAAGTCACTTATTCTATCATAATTTATGTAATGTAACAACAATAAATCAATTTTATTATTACCTGAAAAAACAATAACAATAAACAAAGCAAAGAAATCGAAATAATGTGATAGAAAAGATACATCCAGTTCGTAGACACTTTTAAAAGCAGCTTCCATAGTTTTGTTTCCCAATGAATCGACGAATTGACTTAAGCCTCTCGCTATACTAGCTCCTCCTAGTTAGAATGCACAAGACAAAAATCAATTGTATTTATATAAAAATTTCATTTTACGTGTAATTATTACAATTTTTTTTTATAAATTATGTTGTGTTTTTGTCTAATTTACCTTTTAAAAATCATAAATTTACAAATTCACTAGTACTCTTTGATGCTCAGTACAAAAATAATTGAGAATATTTATGCCTTTTTAGGAAAGTTGTTAAATTATTATGATTTATGTATTAATTCAATATAGTGACTCTAATCTTGAACTTTTACTTGCAAAATATACAATATATATATACAAAGGTTAATATACAATTATGAAAGTAGATAATTTTCGACAAAATACATTTTATCATTTTATGTTAATAAAATTTATCTTATTTATTTTTAAATCGATTTTATGATTAAAATAAAAACCTAACTACGCCACTGCTATTATATGTGGATCCCAAGACATGTAATTGCTCGACCAGATTTTGCGTCGGAGGCACTGGACAGCACTGATGTACATTATTATTTTTTTTTTCTAGTATATTCATCCTGGGGAAATTTACTAAAGCAAATTATGTAACTTACCTATTGTATATTCGAGTAAAAGAGACCATCCAACAATGAAAGCAGCAAATTCACCCACAGCTATGTAAGCAAAAGAGTAAGCTGAACCGGCTTTTGGTATTCTACTGCTAAGTTCAGCGTAGCACAATCCTAATAAATAATAAAAAGGAAAATTATTAAGTTAGGTAAAAACAAAAATTTACAATGCTTATGGTGAGTAGAGCAAGATCACATAGATTGAATAATGGGAAAATTAATTGCCCCAAGCACAGTGGAACAGCTTGATTTAAAGTAATAATACCAAGTACACAGTAAGTAGTAATGAATTATTTTTCAAGTACAGATTGCTTAAATTTTAATATTAGTAAAGTAATGTCTCTAGTAAAAAACCTTAAGGTCTAAAGTATCACTTTTATGCTAGTTTTTATTAAAAAAAAAAAACATTATTACATTTTAATATAAATTGTGTTTTAAAATCGCTTAACAAACTACACTTGTAATTTATTCATAAATTCATCATTTATTATACATTATAATAAAATTTATATTTAATAAGTAGTTCTATATAATTCTAATTTTAAACCTTTGGGTTATTTGCCGATCAAAAGTAAAATCTGAACTTAAGACTGTAAATAGATTATGCTTAGTAAAAATGAGGACACAGATTAAGTGCTATATTATTACTTTGACCTACTATTTAAACAAGTAAAAATATTATAGTTCATATTTACACTATATAATATTAATATACCTTATCTTAAAATATTGCGCTTTTATTGTTGAATTTTTGTTATTTTAGACTTCTGCAGCGTGTATAATTTATTACAGGCTGATGAAGTCTACTTTGTGATTCATGTGGATCACAAAATATTGTAAGGTAGTTATCTCAGTTTTATCTCTTATTTAATTATTGAAATTTACAAATCTTATTATATAATAAAAAAAAGCGCTTTACTGGGAAAATTACTTAGCGTGCTCGGATTTTCAAAATTTTTTTTTTCAACAACAGTACTCGGTCACTAGACTCTGGGAAAATTATTGACGAAGGTCGGAAAATTTTTGCCGCTTACCCGCGAGCGTTTTACAATTTCGACCGTTTTCGAGAAAAACGCTCGCTGACGTCAGCAATTTACGACTTAAGGTTTGAAATTTCACCAGACCCGACCAATAACATTACTGAGATATGATAAATTTTTTTTTAAGTCCAAGGCATGGTTTTAATATGAGCATTGACTTATTTTCTGCACATACGTTTATTCGGAACCTTTATTTGTGTAATATGTATTTTTATTAGAACACTATTTTGCATTTGCAATTTTATTGAGAAATTACAGGCGGCTAGGACTTTATATAAATCTTAAAGCAATAATATACTATATTATTATAGTTAACAATACTATATTAAATATAGTATTACTAACTCTATAATAATTGTTACAAGGTTAAATATGCCATATTTAATGAGCATTAGGAGTAAGTATCTACGTTTTAAGCCAACTACTGAAGCAAAGAAAAATCATTTAATGTCGAAAATCTGTTGTGAATATTAGATGTAATCAAACCCCTATATTTTTATTTATTTAAATCTGGATTCAAAATCGTGACACATTTGCTCGCTCTGTTTTTCCTCCAAATCATTATTATAGTTAAAAAATAGTGATCGTAAAAGTGTTAATTGAATTGTGGTCCATTTAGTTTTTAAAAATAACTATAAAATATTTTATTTTACTACTGCGTGTATTTATGAAACATCACCTTAGTGGTATACTAAACACATATCATTCATTTAATTCATATTCATATTTATGATAAAATTGCAGCAATATTTTTATGAAAATGAGTTCTTAACATTTTCACAATAAAGAACTGTAATAGCAATAAAAACAAAAAAAATATCTTCTCATTCTATTATTATTATTATTATTATTATTATAGTACACAATAATCATATTAAATAATATAAACAATTGATACCTTAGCTTATAATAAAAATATAATTATTAAATAAAATTTAGTATAAGTTAATATGAAAAAAAAAACAACAAATACAATTAGACCTCGGTATCTTAATTAAAATACACGAAAAATCATTTGAGCTATTTTAAATAATGGAATTTAGAAACTCAATAATTTTTGTCATTAAATTATCCACAAGAAAATCGAATAGAAGTAAATACAATTAGTTCTAGGACAATTGTAACTAATGAATCATATTTAATTCAAGTATAGTAATAAAATTAAAGAGTAATATAACTTCGATTCTTACAAAATAAAACATGTTATAAAAAAACATAAGATTAGGAAGACTTTCGATTAAACATTTTGATATAAGTTTAAATGACGCGTTACATAAATAAGACCATGGTAACACCGTTTGTTTTTAATTCTACAATAATTATAATATTATAGCTTTTTATATGATAGGTTATGTCACAAAAATAGGTCTTATCAGTGACGTAGCCAAGATTTCTGGATGGTAGGCAAGAATCTATTATTTTATTTTATTTACCTATTACGTTCTCAACTAACACCAAAGACAAACACTTTTTATAATAATAATAGGCTATATCTCATTTAGCCCCTCTATGCCACTATTTTATATGACTAATAAATAGAAGGCATATCAGAAAAATCAAAATTATTGTGAACATTCATTTTTAGACCATCAACAATAAAATTTTATATTAATCACCATTAAAATTTTCTCTTCTAAATAATTGATAAAATTGACATATCAATTTTTTTTTGAAAATAGCTATAGAATATACAGACATTTCTATTTTGAAATCTTCAATTATTCCAAAAAGAGCTAATTTATATTTCCATGGTATATTTCATATACAATAGTGTTTGTAATTCAATTGTTTAAAATACTTAAAAACAAATGTATGTAGCTAATTTTTTCTGGTGTTAATTTAAAAATATTATTTTTACATGAACTATTTCAACTTTTTGTAAAATAGTGCAATCGAAACGAAAATTGAAAAATGTGTCGGTTAATACCTTTTTGTTTAAATCCTCCTCTCGCCGAATTAAACATAGGAATGAATGAATGAATAAGGTTCAAAGCTTTATGAAAATATAATATATTTTAATTTGTAGGAAAAAATAATTTAACTTCATCATTTCTAATATTTAAAGAATTTAATGTTTGAGAGAATAAAAAAATTGTTTATTTTGGTTGAAAATAAAAATTGTACCAAATTTAGCGCGCTATCTTTTATTTATTAACATTGTGTTGAGATAAGATCGAAATAAAATCTAACACTCGTAAATGTTATATTATTAGCTTTATTCATTTTGCACTTTAATCGTTTCAAGTAGATCTTGAAAAATCAAAGAAAAGGACTGACAAAATGTTTCTTACACAAATTTAATTTTATGCAAAAATAGAAAAATTTTACTTTAAACTTAGTTTATACAATCAATGATAATCAATGTTATGAGCAAAAAAATCATACTTGTATTACAGTCAATAAAAGGCCATAAAATATCAATCTAAAATTTGTTGACATAAATCAACTTCTGTTAAACTTAACCACAGTTTAAACAACTATCCCTGTAATTTTTCATACTATTTTTAAATTTCGTTAGAAACATTTTTTCTTCGGCGGACTTAAGAAATTACTTACCGGCAAAAACGGAGGCGACGGCTGCAATGAAGAAAGACACTACTACAGCAGGACCAGACACGTACTTGGAAAGTGCGCCGGGAAGAACGTACACGCCCACGCCTATGGTACTGCCTACGCCCAAAGCCGTCAAGTCTGTGGTTGTTAGAACCCTGTCCAGCATGGACGTTTCTCGTACGACCCCTGCAACTGTTTTCTTCCTGTTGAGCTTACCACTGACTGTCATGATGATATCTTGTTCTTGATTATTTTCAACGAATATTTTTTGATACTTCTTCAGTTGTAAGATTCACGTCTCCTCGACGCGACACTGCACAACAGCGAGTTAGACGAGGCTATCCGCTAGAGTCGATTTAACGAACGCGATGCTTTTAAAAATTTATTATAAATATAATTGCATGTTATGATTATAATTACTTTACATTTTCACTATTAATATTGGTGCCATCACTATAAAAGTAAAATTATTATTAAAAAACACTTATTTAAATTTTTAGTTACGGTTATGTAATAACAATGAGTACATGTGGCGACGTGCAAGACGTGCGCGTTACCGGTAAAGACTGGATGGATAAGTACTGTGATGAAGTAATATCAAGTAGAATTACAGATAACGTTTAGAATTCACATTTTTAACAGTACCGCGGTGAATGCATTGAATAATCACGACATTAGTGGGATCTACAAGGACCGGTTTTCGTCATTGGACTTGCACAGAGCGTCTTTAGATAAACATTTCTTTAAATCCGGCCGCATAATTAAGTATAATTATAACGATTGATAACCAATTAGATGAACAAACCAATGACCAAGTAGTTCAATAGTGATAAAAAAAAAAAATTAAAGCATCAAATATTGAGATTAGAGAACCATTTCATTAAATAATAACAATTAAGCGATAGTCATTCATCGAATTCATGACCATGCATCTAAATTTTAGTAATGTTTTAGAAAACCCTTTTGTTTTTATATTAATTTAAATGAAATTTCTTCCGTTCATTTGGCGATAGGTGTTTGCATTTTCCATTATTTAAATCAATTATACCGCTGTATTATCGAATTTTTACTTCTGTCTTCTGTTTAATGTTTTACTAATAGGGTTCAACATTATATTCATTATTAAAAGTATTAAATTATAATAATATTGTTGAAAGGTATTTAATGTATGTAATCTAATAACTTTAATATAAACTAAATGCTTTTAGTTTTGAACATTTTTCTGTTCATTTTAAAATAAATTAATATTTAAGATTAAAAAACAAGTTACTCGATTAAAAAAGATTGGGCACTTAAAAATAATATAAACAGCCTCACAAACAATAAAAAAATTGATCTTGTATTCCTATTAAAATATTTAGAAAATCCACCCTACTATCCAAACAATTGCCAGGGCCCTTGAATATTTGCCAAGTTTGGGGGCTTACCGTTTTTAGCTATCTAAACCATTATTAAAATAATTTATTATTTAATTAAGATATTTTATTTGTTATATAATGAAACAATTTTAATTTAATAGATACATCTTTTTAATTAATTATTAAAAAATTAAGAATAATATAACTTTATTATTTTTAAAATTATAAATTTTGAATAGGAGAGACTGGGGAACTACGGTCACCTTAGCAATAATTATATCTCTGGTTGTAAGACTCTAAATGTTATGCTATTATAACAAATGGACGCATAAACATATTGACTGCATTATGTCATAGTCTCAGGTTTTTAAAACATAATCATATATATAATTTGTTTAATGCAAATGACCGGTATTTCCCCTATCCCTGGGGGATATCGGCCATACATAAATACACGCAAAAAAGATAAGAATAAAATAATTTTTAAAAAAATCACTGAAATATAGTTCATATAAATTATAAATATATAATAATTTGCTTACCTTAAATTAAATTTCTTAAAATTTTTTTTTTTAGATAAATAAACGCTGAAAACTATTTTCACACATTTAAACGTGAATACGTTTTTTGATAATATCGTTCTAATAAGAATAAGGTTTTTTTATCATTCTTAATCTGTCCATATGGTCTGATGCATGGGTTTATTAAATAATAATGACCATAGTTTCCCCAGTTTCACCTACATTGAAATTAATTTTTTTAAATTTTGAGAGATTTTTATTGTACATAATTATAAATTATATAAACCGATATAGCGATATCAAATAAAATATTAATACTTCTATAAAAGTATTTATATTTAAGAATTGATAAAATTATTAATTTTATATCTAGATATTCGTAATAATAAATCTGTTATAAAATTTCGAAGCTAAATAAATCCTTAATTGTTCGATAATTAATCGCCGAGTTACCCAATTAATCATAAAAATTATACGAGATTATAATAAAAAATAAAATAATAGTACAATATTCTAATAAAACTGGTTGGCTAGTTATTAGAAATAATTATTTATAGAGCATTCTAATGTTTCTTTTAATCATTTATATAATAAAGTTAGTAATATTTTCATAAAAACAAAGAAAATAATATTTTAAATGAAATTTTTTCTAAATTTGTTTAATATTCCAACTAAATATTCAAGTTTTTAAGATATTTTATACACATTTTTTAAACTAATACGTTGTACAGTAATAAAAAAAATCGTTAGTTTTATTGACGTATTATAGTTTAATATTCGAATTGACGCTGAATAAAAATCTCAAGAAAAGGTTATCATACCAATTCATTTTATGATAATAAATATGATATTAATTTAAAGAGAATTATGAGGATGTAAATTAGATTTGAACTATACGACTGTTATATCATTTATATTTAATTTATTCTAGATATTTAGTATTAAAATCTGATTTTAGATACTTTTTTCTAAACAATCATATACTTTCTCTGTCTTTCACGATATTTCTAACATTGTGTTTAAGTGTAAAATACTCTTACTAAGAAATAATGCGTTTCAAACATTTTTTAGATATCTACCTAGGTTTTTTTTGTCTTTAGACTGTAATTTTCTTGTTAAGTTATTATTATAGTGTCTATACACAAAATTATTTGATATATAATAGTTATATATTTTTCCAAAATATGTTCATACGTAAAAGGTAGAACTGACCTTAAAAAGGACTTCTGGTATGATTATTTCTAATAGATCCCTTTCAACCTAAGTTATATACATCTGACTATTTACTCGTAATGTAATATGAATCAAGTATGATATATTGGCTCAGAGGCATAGCCAGGATTTTCGCATGGGGGGGGGCTAAATTTTATAAAGTGTAGAAGACGATAGTATGATAAATATTGATAGCATATTAACGTTGATTTACTGTTAACGTATTTACTATTTCAAATATATAAAATTTGTTATACAATTTTCATATTTAAATTTAAATATTTCAACAGAATAAGAAAAGTATGGCTATAGCCTCATTAGCCCCCCCCTTGGCCACTGTATTGGCTGTATTATGGCTCTGATCTACCCATTTGTAGACATAGTACAATTTAAAATGCTGAGCTTTAAATATTATAAAAAAACTTTAGTAAGAAAAAAAAGATCTTCAACAAAAAATAAAATTTTATTTCTTCAATACAATTTTTTATTATCATCACAATGTTCATACTATTAGCGCGAGTATAACACGAACGTAAAAATAAATAATTTAAGGATCTTGATAACAATAAGGAAATCACATACAACAATTTTCCTAGAAGAAAAGGTATTTTCATTAAAATCAATAAATCATTTTAGTAAATAATTTTGTACGTAAAAGATGGCACATTAATGGTTCATAAGTTAAAGTCACGTTTAAATTACTTGTTTATAAAATTCGTAATAAAATAATTATAAAATGACATTAGTAGCCGTCTAAATATATTACAGAACTCTGTACAATGAATAATTAAAAACGCCTTAATTTTAGTTTAATTCAATTTTCAAATCAAAATCTATTCTAATCATTCTATTCGATGCATTTATATTTATGATGATGATGTATATTTTATTTAAATTAAATTGTTCTTCTATCATTTATCTATAATTTCACTGCAATCTAGTAATAATTTTTTGTTTACATATATATATATAACTCTGTGGGCATGTCAAGTTAACAAGATAAACATTGTACATGTTATCATTTTTAGTATGTTCTACTTATCAATAATTTATTAAGTTATCAAGTGGTTAATTGTTCATAATTTAGTATTTGACAAAATTTATAACAACAATAACGTTTTTACTCCAATACTTTAAAATCAATCAATATTAATGAGGACTTTTCATTTTCCAACAATGTCAATATCGCTATGGTCGATATTAAACAGATTTACTGGTTCAGAGTAAGTATAATAATTAAAAAAAAAAAGAAATTATTATTAATTATTACATTCATACATAAATATATATTGAATATTATACAATGGTCACTAAAAATTACCATTAATTATTTATTTTATTATTTAGTAAAACTGCATCTTATAGTCGTTTATCAACAGAAAGTGGTCATTTTCGAATTACTGTTTGGGATCCTGTGCTTATAATAGCTCAGATAGTGTCTGTTCAATCATTGTACTATTTTACCATGTGTATTTGGATTACAATAATTTGTTACTTAGTCGGTACATCGAGATCATTGGATGTCATATTCGAATTCAAAGTATTTTGATATTGTACTACTACTTTTAATTAACATATTATCCACACTTTATTTCATTGTATTAGGAGTTGAGTACAGTGAGTGGGGAAAAATATGTTTTGGTTGTATTTGCATTAAATTCATTAAGCGGGTAAGTAGTTCACAATTTTTTTATTATATTAAGTCTTTTATTAAAAAGTCATTATCTGACAATTTTTTTAATTAGATCAAGTTTTACACTTTTTTTTTAAATATTTTAGGTGAATTTTCTATAAATTGTCTTTTTACTTCATTGGAATTATTTTATCTATCCATTATAGTAATTACTAAAATAGGTAAAATGTAGACATTTTACTATTGTAATTTGTTCAAATGGGTTTCATGAAGTGTACATTTGTGATTATCCTATTCAGACCCCGATTCATGATTTTGTATTGTCTAAGTGATGTTTTATTTGATAAAGTTTGTGGCACTATCCCATAAGTAGTCTCATCAAAATAAAAAAAATTAATTTTCTTAAGTTTTAAATGTTACAATAGTCTGAAAGTGTTATAAATTTAAAATAAAATAAAGTTTTTATGAATAACCATTATTGAACTATTAAATTGTTATCTTTCTGTAATTAAACTTACAGTCCATATTCATGCTTCATATCAAAATGTTTAAATTTGCTTATAAGTTAGTAGACTTAACTTGAGTAAATATTAATAAGCTATTTTTTTATTTATAATTAACATTTGTGTTTCAGGGCAACATTTATTTGGAAAATTGTTGAACGGTACAGATTATGTTTGGATTATTCATGCACAATTCATATCATTCATTTAGTTGCTTGTATTTGGTATAATGGAACACTACCTACATTATTTTGGTGGTTATTAAATGCTACTTGTGCAGCCATTACTTGTATATGTGCTGAATTCCTATGTATGCGCACTGAACTGAATGCCATACCTGTAAATAGTGGTCAACCGCCAAAAGTAGATTTATGATATAGGTTGTAAATTTGTATCTCATTATTAAATCGAATATTTTGTCAGGAAAAATGTATTTTTATGTCTGTACTCTAATCCAAAATAGTTACTATTTACATGATAAAAGAAACGACTAAAAATGTTTATGTATCAAAACACATGTAAAAATTTGATTAAGAGCATAAAATAGTTTATTAATAATAGTTACATTAAAATATATTAACTGTTGTTGATTTTGCTCAATAAAGTAGATTTTGTATTGATTAGAATGCAAAAAAATGTATGTTATTTTTTTAATATTTATACTAAAAGTATCGATTAATAAAACTAAATTAAAAACAAATGATTTATTATGAAAATTTTTTAACTGGCTGTGAATTATTATACTACAACAATTAAACTTAAAATATATTTAATAGTCAAAACTTAATTATTAATTTTTTTTTTTTTATATAAAAATTTAGTTTAAACTTGTTTTTATATCATCTTCATTATCGTCAGGAACATTACACCCTAAATAATTTTGATTAGCAATTGCTTTGTTTAGTACTTGTCTCCAATAATAATTTGATTTCATAATAGTTGGATCACCAATAATGATCATCAATGCTTTGGCTCTTGATAAAGAAACATTAGTACGTTCTTTGGCGGCAACAAAACCAAGACCAAACTTTTTATCCTTTTCTTTTCCTATAGTAGAAGTACTTCTAACCATTGATATAACAATGACAGTTCTTTCTTGGCCTTGAAACATTTCTACAGTACCAACTTTTGGTAATACAGCATCAGGATGATACATTTTTAGTAATTCATTGATTTTATTGACCTTAATAAATAAAAATTAATTAAATAATAAATTAAATAAGATGACTAAAATTTGTCCTAGGGAAATAGGTGAAATATTTTAACTCAATTTTAGTTGACTCCCTTTGAAAAACAATTCAGAAGATTCATATATGACTTAGTAATGTACAGTAATACGAAAATGATTTAAATAATCTGTAAAATGTAAGAAAAACCACATTTTGTTTTATTCGGATATTTGTTCAATTTTTTTATAGGAGCTGAAATTATTTATGAATGGGAATTAGCAATAACTATTTTTGCCTAATTACCTTTAAAAATACTATCTAAAATATAATAAAAACATTTTTAAATACTTGTAAACAGTATGGAGTGATAACTCCTATATCTTCAGCTAATACACCAGCTTTAAGTAACTTGGTAACATATAAAAGAACTTGAAAAGCTTCATGAGGGTTAAACCACGACGGACTACTGGGCTCCTGGCTATCTTCACCTCTAATGCCATGAACAATTACTGGACCTTTACAACAAAGATCCCAATGAGCATTTTCATTTAGATTATTCAACATTATTCTTTCAGGCACATTAGCATCTATTTTCTATCAAGAATAAAGATGTATTAATTAGTAATAAGTTAACTAATTTTTGAATAGCCAATATATTTGAATACATAAAACACACTTACTGTTGCACAAAGTAATGAACTATAAAACATTGAATTATATACATCAACAATTTCAGGCAAAGAACGATAATTATGAATCAAATGAGTTAAGACTTTAGGGTTATAACCATTACTTTCTGGAAAAATATCAGGTAACCTTTGATAAGAAGGATAGTGAATAAATCGAGCAAGCATAGATTGTCCAAGACCTGAAGTTTTTGCTAATCTTGATAATACTACAGGCCCTAATTGTTGAGGATCTCCAGCTAATATGACTTGACCATCACGATAAGGATCCAAAAATGCTATTAAGTTAACAGAGCAATATTTAAGTTAAAACAATTTCCTAACAATAATTTAAAATTAAAAGAAAATACTAACACAATGGTAGTAATATTTCAGGTTCTGTTGATTGCCCAGCTTCATCAATAAATATATGAGAAAAAGTTCCATTTTTAAGACCCATCATATATAATATCCCAGAAGTTCCTTCAGTGGTTATAACTAATCTTAGTTTAAAAATATCTCTTTTATCGACAAGTTTTGAATCTGAAACAAATAGTATTACTTTAAATTATAAAGTACATTAGATATTATAACAGTTTGATATAGTAAAATTACAGCAATAATAGATATTATAACAGTTTGATATAGTAAAATTACAGCAATAATAGACATTTTAACTTGCATTTAAATTCCTTTTATATTTTTAAATCAAATATTATCACCAATGGAATTGATAGTTAAAATTCTTAAAATATTAATAACATAAAAACAATTATTCTCAATGGACATAACTGGATGTAAAAATTAATTGAACATTTCTTTATAGTAATTTAATTAAAGATAGATTACAGTATAAATTAATTTGATATATTCAGGTGAAAAATGTTATCATTTTTTACTAGAAATTACTTAAATTTTAAGCAAAGTATGAAAAGACAAAGAATTTAAAAACCAAACCTGGTTCTTTAGTAGTATTAAATGAATTTTCAAGTTCAGGTAAATAGAAATATTTATCGATATGTTCAGGATACGATGAAGTGATATAATGGTTATAACCAACAAGACGTTTCATTATATTGTTATCAAACAAACCAGTTTCTATGAGTTTAACAAGTAACATATCAACAGCAGAATTTGTTGGTGCGCATATCAGCATTCTAAAAACATAATATCATATTTTACTTAAGTATTTACTACAAAAACAAATAAGAAAGACTTACCTACTTCTGGGTATTTCTTTATAAACTTGAATTATGGCTTCAGTTAAAGTTAAAGTTTTACCTGTACCTGGAGGCCCATAAATAACATAGGGCATTGGTCTGCCTTCTCCTTTAAGAATATTAATCACAGCATTTTTTTGTTCAACATTTAATTTTTGATTAAACCATTTAATTTGTTTTAAAACTTTAGGTTGAGGTAACATAATATCAGTTTTTTGAGAATTTAGATTATTATTCCACTGTCCACTTTCCTGCAGTTTGATTTTTTCTTCTTCAAAAATAAGTTTAGGTGGCTGGTATTCCATATTTTCTTTGTAAGGAAATAAAAAAACTTCACCCAACCTATTTTTTTTCCATAGTTCATTAATAACTTCATGTTGCTTTCGATACATCATTCTAGCATTAAAAAAACTGACACTGTAGTCCCAATGGCCACAGATATTATGAAATTCTGTATCAAATTTCAACCATAATGAATCAGCTGTAACTTTATGTATAATTCCTTCATAACAACCAGTACTTCCTGCAATAATAAGAGTTAACTCATAACTAGCATATCAAAAATTTTTGTAATAATAATTTATTTTTCAAGTTTTTATTTCAGTATCTGTTCAATATATGTATGTATTACAATGAAAATTTGCAGATAAATTTTTACTTTCTTAAGTATTATAATAAGTATTTGAACAATTAGTATCTTAAATTGAAAGTGTCAAACAATTTTGTTTTGCTTAAGTTTTTTGAATCAATAAAAAAAGATTTAACTTTGAGTCATTTACAAGAAAAAGTAGCCAGAATAAAGTTATATAACATATAATACATCTGATATAGTATTCACAAAAACTTCACACTCACGAGTGTGATAATATTTTAGTCAGTATAATAATATTTTATGATTAACTATTTAAACTATATAATAAAACATTAATACATTACCTAATCTTTTAGTACAGTTTGGTGGATCAGTTACTGCAGCCAAATCACCAGATATTAATGAAGGGCGTTGTTCTGATAGGTCAGGTATTTTAAGAACTAAATATTCTCCAAAAGGTTCAAAATTAATTCTTTCCTGGGAATACTTTTGAAGTGCTATGGTTATCTAAATAAATAAACAAATTCATAAATATTGGTTTATTTTTATTAAAATTAATGTATTTAAAATAATTAAAATTAATATTTACTTCGATTTCTTCCATAAATAAAAGTGTATGAAATTTTGCTCTATAATTTTGATAGCAAAGTGTTTCAAAAGCTGCAGGGTATAAGTTATTAATTTTATTCTTTATCTCACTCATTATACTAAAAACAAATTGAAAAAAACATTTATGTACATTATAAAATCAAAAATTATCTTGAAAATATATAGTGCTTTATATACAAATTAGACTTTTTATCTTCAGTCCAGTAACATTTGACTAATTGAGGACTTATAGTCCATTGACCAATTCTAACACTAGGAAATTGAACTCTTTTACCAGGACGAACTCCTGGAATTAATGACTCATTTTGTAATTCAAACAACCTCCTGTATTAAATTAATTAATTATTAAGTCTTGAATTTTTAAAATACTATTATATTTTAACTCTAACTATTTTTAAGGGTGGATCTAGACATTTTTTAAGGCAGAGAAAATAATTGTTTAGATGAGAAAATCCGTGTGATACCAATTACTTTTTTCTCATTTAAAAAAATATTTTTTAAGTAAATGACAAGATTTCTATAGAGGAACAAGTCGTGGGCTTCTTTCTCTAGATCCACTAATGATTTAACTTACTCCATATCAATTTGTTTTCTAGTAAAAATCCCATTTTCTATAGGATGAACAATTCTAGAATCAACTACTTCAATATTTATACCAACTTTATAAGTTATATCTTCAGTAATAAATTCTACTTTTTCTGTTGATCTTCCTAAGTATCTAAAAGGGAAAAATGATTTAGCACATTTTATACAGTATAAAACATTAAATCAAATGTAAAATGAATAAAAACAATAATTATTGGAAAATAATTATTTATTAAGAAACCTTACTTAAGTTGAATTTTAAAAAATACCCCGTAACAGCTAACTTTTATGCAGGTGACTTCAATTTCTAGTGTAGAAGCCAGAGCATGAAAATAATACAACAGTACCTAAAAGACACAGCAAATAAACTTACCCCATGATCTTAAAAAACTGGATTCAAATTTTCAAGTCAGAAATACAAATACATCACTTTCACCAATAAAAAGAACAAAAAAAAAATTAAAATAACAATACACACAGTAAAATCTCTAATCGCAACTCGTTCAAAATATTAAGTGTGATATTTGACAATAAAATAATCTGAATACAACACTATAAAACGCTAAAAATCGAGGAAAGCAAAAAAGTCAGCATAATGAAATACATCAGCCACATTACATAGAGAGGAGATGAGCAAACCTTGAGATCACTATACACACATGTAATAAGTATTAAATAGAACTATGGTTGTATATGGTTCTATGGTTTATTTACAGTTCAGCTGCTCTATCACACTCTAAAATATTATATAGTGTCTCAAACACAAATATAAATCTAGCTATTGAAGGTTTATGCTCTATTGAATGCATAAGAAACATAATTGGAGAAACTCTGTCTGACTTGAAAAAACTAGAACTATCTCTCTTGTATCATCAACCAGAAGGCTGCATTCAAGAGGATAGTTGAAACATAAAGAACTCCACATAAATACATAGACTCAATTCTTCAATAAACAAAAAAACTTTATATAAGTTTAGAATAGATAACAAGAGTCCAACCACAAAGAGTGGTTGAACCCTAAAAACTTCAACTCAACATAAACTTAGAACTAGCAGATCTTAAAAAATAAAACACCAATCTATTAATTTATAGAAGCTACCTAAGAGCCATATTCAGCAGGCATAAAAACGGAACACAGTTCTTCACTAATACATCGAAATTAAACCAAAAAGTAGGATTAGCAATAATACAGAATACTACATGCTCCTAAAGTATACAGTAAAATCTGAAATCTCAATACATAGAACAGAAACTTTAGCTATCTACAAAGCTATAGAATACATAATTAAAAATAAATAAGTCCACAAATGTAGCATAATTCTCAGCAACTCATTTAGAAATCTCTACAATTTATCAAAGAGTTCAGATATATCCCATTTATAATAGAAAAAAATGTAAAATCCCAACAAAAATTAATTAAAATTGTCTTTATATGGAAGCCTGGACATTGCTACATAAATGAAAAAGCAAAAATCACCCTTGAGCAAATCAAAAGCTCAGTATGCTTCTGGAGAAATACAGGGCTACTGAGAAAAGAAAGCATTGTAATGAAAAGATTTCACATAGGGCATACAAAATTAACTCATCACTATCTTATGATTAATAGTTACTACTTTTCTTTTTAATACAAATAAATTTTTAAATACATAAATTATAGATTATTTTTTGTATACATAGTGGGGATAATGTTGGCAATATAAATAATATATTATTTTTACATAAAGTATATTAGATAAGTATAATAGACATAAATACCCTACTGATAAAAAAAAACTAAATTTTAGTTTACCAGTAAAGAATATTGAAATATACAAATAAAAATAAAGTAGTTAAGTATATAAATAATACAATGAAAATATTATTTTATTTTAAATTTATTTTGGATTGTAAAGCAATTTAAATTACTTTTTATTGTAACTAAAATACTTAGCAGCAACAAAATTTATTTAATTACTTTTTTTTAATGCAACTTAAAACTACATTTATAGTTATTTTAAGGAACTAACCCAAGATATTTTCATTGGGGAGGTTAAGGGCTTTTTTTGGGGTTATTATAAGCCCTTAGTAGTACCATACTGTTAATTGTAATAATTTGTTAATGGGGAAGGCTATAGCCTCTTTTTGGCTACATCACTGAATTAGCACTTTATTAGAAAAAAATAGCTCTAACATTGTTATATTAGAATAAAATTGTTTTTTGCGAATTGAAGTTTATTTCATTAAGGGGATCGGCCTGGTCTAGTGAGTAGAAACGTATATTTCGGCATAGGGGTCCTGGGTTTGATCCCCAGAGTGCCAATGAGATTTTTCTTTTGATTTTTTTATTGATGGTGTAATATTCTCCTCTGGAATATTACAAAATCAATACCTCTTTTATTTCTCAGACCACAGAAAAGAATACACTAACATTATTACATATTTAATTCTGACTTTTGGCAAATATAAAGTAGCCATGAGTCATTGTCTTTCTCAGAGTCTTCAAGGCACCACAAAAGTATTAAAAAAGGTAAATTAATAATAATAATTCTTTTGCGTTTATTGGAATACGGACTGATGACTAAATGTGTCAATAAAAAAGTATGACACATTTGAGATGCCCAATCCCCGTTTATGCTGTTCGTGGCACATTATATAATGGCTGAAGACCCTGTTTTTCCTCTCACTCGTTTATATCTTTTTCTCACTCAACATTTCTTTTATCAAGTAACTCTTTAAGATTATTCCATACATACTCTAGTGTATTCTTTATATTATGTCTCTATAGTCTTAACTTTCCTTATTTAGTCTAAAACGTACATTTTTTATATTAAATAACATTTTGCTTAAAAATTTATACGTTTATATAATTTCCATATAATTCTCCTCTTATTAACACAACTCCCATAATTTGAACAAACGCTTCAAACAACTATAAATCACCAGCCTAGATTCTATCATCACTGTTCCGGCAAATATCAGGTAAGAGTAGTTTTAACACACTAACTACACTAATCAAGTAATAACTAGAAACAAAGTACTTGTATTTATTATGTCTTTACGAATGATAACATTATCATTCTTTTCTATTAATACCATCCCCATCAACTTTATTTTTAGTTATTACAGTGGTGTCTGGTCTCTGGTGCAAGCCGGACATAATACCAGTCTCATCCATTATTGGCTTATCCAAGAATAATTTTTGACTCCCTAACATGTGAAAGAAGGCTAGCACACTTTGTAGCATATTAAGTTTGGGATATAGAAGAATTTAAAACTGATAATTTTGTAGTTTATTTCATTAACAATTTAATTTTGATTCTAGAAGGTTTTGTATTTAAATTTGCTAACTCATAACTAACATCAAAAAGTTCTTAAAATTAAAGATTTTTTGTTCAATGAACAAAATAGTCGAGTTTATTTAAGGTGTTGGCATAGGAATGGCATGAAATCCGAAAAAATCAATATTTTATGGGAAACATAATAAATAAATTCCTAATATCCTAAAAAAATGTATGAGAGAAATATGTAAACACAAGTAATTTTACAACAATTCATCATTTTAATAAAAAAAAAAAGAACTAGTGTAGATATGTATAGTAAATGTGATACCATTAAATACAATCCTAACTAAAACTTACTTTCCATGCAAATTAATATCAAAAATATACTGAGATTTAATATCAAGAATAATGGGTAACTCAGGTTTATTTGAGATTGATAGCTGTGCTTTATTACCAAGCATAGTTTTATAGTTTAACACTTTTTTTTTCACTACAAAGCTGTTGTTTCTAAATAATATCTAAAAAAAAAATGTAATTTGTTAGAAACATTTTTTAAATAAAATTTATTGAAGAAACCTGTATAGTTGATTCTTGTTCATAACTAATAATTTTTGGCATATCACCAATTACTTCAACAGAAATAAGATTTTCTTCTGAAGAAGTTTTAGGTATATTATTGCTAATATTTGTAACTTCTTTGTTTTTATTAATACTTGTTTCAATTGTAGGTTCTTCATAATCTACACTAACTGGCCTATGAGCTCTCAATCTACAAAATTACCAAAAATAGACAATACAGTTTTTAGGATGTAGTAGTTATCAAAAACTATATTACAATTATAACATATTTAATCTATTCAAATTGTCCACTTTTAAATATAACAAAAAAAAAGTTCTTTTTTTAGATATTATAAAACATTATTTTTAAATAGTGTTATAATAATATATCATTGTTATAATCAACAATATTTGTAGAACTGATTTATTTGTGAAATTAGCTGATATTCTTCAAAACTTTATCAAGCTTATTCCCATTTATTAATATAAGACTTAAATTTTAAAGTTTGAATATTATACATTAATCTTCCTGTAGCAATAAGAAATCTAAAAAAATTACCTAGTTGCTTGAGTATGATGTCCATCTTTAGATAAAAAACAACTAGCAACTTTCCATTCTTCATTTGAATCTTTTTTTCTATACAATGATACCCTCACAGGACTTCTAACTTCAAGATAGGAAAAATTACGAATTTCTTTGTCTGTTTTTGGTTGGTAATGGTAAACATCATTGATCAGACATTTGTCAGTATCTAAAATTTTTGTTATTATACCGTTGACATATTTAATATCTAATGTTGGATCCAAAATACATGAAATCTAAACAAATAAAAAATATTAATTTTAACTATTCTAGTAATTATCTATAATTATGTATTACTAAAAGTTGATTTTAAAATTACCCAAAAATCATTATCTGAAGATACATCTCTTTCAAAGAGCAAGTTAGCTGGACGTTCAAGTATTTCTTGTTTTCCAAAAACCCAATTCCAAATTCCACTCAAAACAGACATAGTGATTTCAATAATTTAATTTTTTTACATATTTTTTTAATTGAGTAACCAGAATACAATATAAATTGTAGTTTTTGTAAATCATTTATGTCATTAATATAATACTAATTCATTTTAGATGTTTGAATAATAACATATATAGTCAACTATAATAAAAACCTTTACGCAATTGAAAAAAAATTAATTTTCTATAATAGAAAAAAAATGAATACCGTTACTATTGTAATATGAACTTTTTCAAGAACTTAAAAACTAAATAAATAATTTATCATAATTCATCAGACAGTTCATATTGTTAACTGCTTTGTAGTGAGGTCACATGGCACGTGTATTTCAATATCAATCAGCGGTATTGATAAGGAAAATATAATTCAGTACCGTACTGACAGAAAATATAATATCAAATGAAAATAGACAACAATTTTTGTCTATAAATTAAAATTAGCCTGTTTTATAATTAAAATAATCGAAAGGACTGAATAAACTTAGCTATTTAATGAGCAAAAACTAAAAATGAATTAGTTCATATTAAAATGAAAAGTTGGTATTTCTACAATCAAAACTAGAATTCATGTTATGAGAATTTGTCAAGCCCTCTTAATAGTTTCTATCCTTAGTAAATTGTATAAATGACTACTTAATATTTCATTATAGCCTTTTATATTGTGTTCAAAATAAATTTGAGATACCTTAAGTAATGTAAAATAGAGAAATATACTATCTAGTTATTATTTCAAAAAACGTTTTATATGATAAACTTGACTTTATGAATGCGATAAAATAAAAGGGTTTACACATAATATTATGTAATTTGAAGTAATGGTGGCTTCAACCCCCGTAGACTCAAATTTTTAATTACGCCCCAGTATTTTAAAGAAACGTTAATATTTTTATTTTTGATATACACTAACAAAAAAAAAAAAACGGTAGCACAGTGGGGTCGTGGCACAGTGTGGACGAGGCATAGATGGGACAAGTATAGATGATATCTGACAGTGATTAAAATCACTATCATAAGAAACGCTTCGATGCAAATCTGTAGATAGTGTTTTATTTAGAGAAATTGGTGGATTATTCCAAAAGCAACATCAACTCTTATTTCTTTAATTATATCCTGATTAGTAGTTCTTTGATTTTAAAATATAATATATGAATAAATACTAATTATAGTTTTTAAATTCAGTATGAAATTGTGAGGCCAGCTATGATGTATGGTTCATAGTGTTGGGCGGTTGATAAGAAAGTAGAGCAGAGAATAAGTGTAGCAGAGATGAGAATGCTTAGTTGGATGAGTGGAGTGACTAGAGAAGATAGGATAAGGAACGAGCATATAAGAGGAAGTAAAGGTGTTGCGTCAATCGTAGATAAGATGACAGAAAATATACTTGGATTGTTTAGTCATGTTATGAGGAGAGAAGAATTGGAAGCTGTAAGAACAGTTATAGAAATGAATGTTGAAGGAAGAAGAGGTAGAGGAAGCCCAAAAAAGAGATGGAGGGATGCTATTGAATACGATATAAGGACAGCTGATGTGAGCGTAGATTATGTGGGAGATCGTGTCAAGTGGAAGTTTGGGATATAGGTGGCCGACCCCAAGTAGTTTGGATTAAGGCAAAGAAAAAGAAAAAAGCTTACCAGAAATTCCGGTGGGAATTGACATAATATGATTGTTGTTTGGGAATGTACAATTTAGCGTTTAGTTGGGTTTAAACAATATAGTGTCAAATCAATTACCTACTCTATCAGTTGTATCTTAATATACACGACACTTAAATGATACAATAAATAAATAAACTCACACATACACACATATGCATTTATAACATTGTGTCTAATGTATAACATGATAAAAAAAAAGTAACCGTAAAATGAAAAAAATGGAATATAAATTTTAGTACTCATATTAAATGTAATGTAACTCGAAAATATTTGTTAAAAAGAAAAAATATAAGATACCTTTTTTGTTTAAAATTATCTTTTTTACAATTTTAGTACAAAACTTTTTTTGTAAGTTAAATATTTTTTGAGAAAATTTAAAAAGCTCATATTTTTGAACTTTTGCGAGTCTGTAAAAAAAAAGCTCAATTTCAATCAATGAGGACTATTAGTATGTCATTATACATATTTTAATTCAACTATTAATAAAACAAAATTTGGTTGGGAATATTTTATACACTGGACTACAAGGAACTTCATCAGAAACAAAAATATACTATTCTAAATCAACTTTTCGCGATGTTTTCAAATGTGCAATTAGACTTTTTCTATCACTTCTAAGTTTTATATTATTACAAAATAGTATTTACATATAAAAAAAGCTAAAAATAATAAGAACAAAAAAAATTGTTTTAAATTAATGCTGATTTTGATTATTAATATGTTAAAAATAAGGAAAATGACATATTTAACCTATTTTTTAATCGTTTAAAGGAGATTGTTGTAAATGTTTATAATAAAAAAAAATAATTTATTTTACTATAACTTTTAGCTCAATTGGCAAGTTTGACATTGACATCATTAAATAGAAAATTTTATGACAATTAAAAAAATTGTATCGTTAAGATTAATATGCAGTCAGAAAGTTTTACAATTACTATTTATAGTAAATTTATCAGAGTAACAAATATTTTTTTGCATTTTTATGGTAATAGATAACTTAAATAGAAGTAATAGTAATAATTTCCTAGTAACTTTTGTTGTTTGAAAAGATTCTACAATTGAAATATTGAGAACTTAATTAATTTTAATGATTTACTTTAACTAAATGAACCAATCAAAACAAAGTTATTAAAAAGATTTACTCAATTGAGCGTATTATAAAATTTGATTATATTTGTAAAAATCAATTGTTAATTCAGCAGAAAAAACAATCATTTTTTTAGAAATGATTTATATAGCAACATGTTAAAAAAAAATTTGTAATATTATAGTCTAGTAGTAGCACACACAAATAGAGTAAAAAAATTATTAAATTACAAAGTAAAATGATTTAATTTTGTAGTTGAAACCTATCATATCAAACTTCATTCGTTAATAAATATTTTGAAAACATTAGAAATTAATGATTTTAATTGTCTTTATGGAGACGATGTAATAACTAACTGTTTAATTGATAAATTAGAATTTTTTTTTCAATTTTTGAGAGTAATATCTTCAACTAGATACGAATTGTAGTCATTTGACGTATCGTTGAAAAGAGTAGGTCAAGTTAGAGCAGAGAAAATAAATGATAGTCACAAAAAAATATCTTAGATATTTCTCTTTCATTTAATATCATTTTTTTTTGAAAATCTAACATTTATTCTGCTCACAGGGGGGATTTAAAATAGCAACTTTTTTACAAAAACTAACTTTTTCAACTTAACTTTTGAAAATGTTCCGGAAATACTGCGTCCTTTAAATATATATCAAATTAAAGCTTATGACATGTACTATAGAATTAAAAAAAAAAAATGTCCCGACGACCTATCTTCTATGCGCAAATGACTACCGTATTCAAAAATATGCTATTTCTTTATTAAAATTCTGGGTTTTGTATTTTATTTTATTTTAAAATATCTTATTAGGGGAATACACTGACTTTCATGAATATTATATAATTTCATTGACATAGAATAAAGTTCATAAGACATACGAAATTAAACTTATTAAAATTTTTTTACTTTTTTAAAGTCGAAAAAGTAATTTTTAAATTTAAGTTATTTAAGTGATCTATTACGATAAAAATGTAAACAAAATCGAACTTTTCTGATAAATGTACTGTAAATAGTAATTATAACATTTCCTGATTGCATATTAATCTTAACAATTTCATTTTTTTCTATTTAATAATATCAATTTCAAACTTGTCAGTTGAGTTAAAAGTTATGGTAACAAATTCATTTTTTTTTTAAATAAAGTAGGTTCAAAATGATTACTTTTAACATATAAAAATCAAAATCAATAATAATTTGAAAACAATTAATTTTAAAAATTATATAATTTATAATTAAAAGAATTACTAATCTGGGTATAATTAAGGAAATAGAAGTTGATGTTGCTTTTGTAATTATGCATCAATTTCTTAGAATTAAACACTATCTACAGATTTGCATCGAAGCGTTTCTTATGATAGTGATTTTAATCACTGTGTCGTAACACAGTAAAATGAAAAAAGGTAAAAGTGTAAATGTGTAACTATGTAATGTGTACGAAGATGAAGATGAGGATGATGTGGTGCCTGCTGTCTAGGTATTCACATGCGTGTTGTCGTACAGCAGTCACCGTGCTCGGCTGACACTCCGGGTTAGCTGTGGGTGTCGAAAGGCTGTTGTTATAGGAAGGGAGAATAAGAGTAACACCTAGGTATGAGGTGCAGACGAAGTGCAAGACACAAATACCAGGTGTACGCAAAAGGAGCCCAAAGTATGAGGTGCAGACGAAGTGCAAGACACAAGTACTCTGAAATGTGGAGGAAAAGAGTATATAGGTTTGAAAAGGAATAAACAAAGACTTTACTTTAAACAGTAAGCCGGACAGCGACAACCGAGTACTGAGACTGATGAATGACACAAGGCACTGGAGTCGACTGACCACGATGGTCAGGTCTATTGGGTTTTTATAATAATTAGAACTATTGCCGATTTGGCAATAAATATTATTTGTTAATTCATCAGTCTCAGGCAGCGGATGTGCTGTCTGTATTTTATTAAAATAATTCTCACGATTATGAAAACGTGACACCATCACAACTGTCAGATTAAATCTATACTGGATCAAACTATGCAACGTCCCCTCTGTGCTGGGTTTTTCATCATTACTTTAATTTTTAGCAAAAAAAATTCTATAACATGTTTAACTAAGTAATATTAAATACCCTCCTAAAATAATTTTTGAATAGGCCTAAAGGGAATACCTCATTAACAAACGTCAACCTTATACTCAATACATTTTACTATATTCTCTTTTTGAATTTTCCTGATTTTTAATATATTTTTTTTACACTGATTCTGATGTAATATTTTTTCTGCAAAACACTTATCGTGCCCGGCGTAGTATATTAGTATGCAAAGTGATTCTTTTATTATTTACCACGTAATAAATCAAAAATTAAAAATAATATAATAATAGAAGAAATATTTAAGAGATGATATAATCTTTTAATAAAAATTGAGTATAGTCGTTATTATGGTATGGTTTCTACTTTAAGGTCTGGAAAACATTTATGTGGTGTCAATCTCATTTTTTTAGGATTTGGTGGTAACATTTGATTAATAATAGTGTCCTGATCGTAAGTGAATCCAAATTTATCATATTTTTCTTCAATAGATGATTTAATAATTTCATTAATTTCTTTATGCAGGAAATCGTAAAAATAGATCTCTTGTTTATTTTTCAATAGATTGTTATATTTTTCTAATAAATTAGTCCACGCTGATTTCAAACATTCTGGCACTACTTTGAAAAACATATTTATGTCTAATTTGACTTCATTTTTTCTATCTGAAAAAAAATCGATTGCAGTATATTAATATATTTTTATTGGATAATGGATCATTTTGTGAAATTAACGACTTCTTATAATTCTCCGGTATTTCTTTTAATAATGTAAAAGTTTTACTAAAAATATAATGTGTGGTCCTATTATTATATCAAGGGTTATAATGAAAGCTTTCAATAGCGTCCATGGCATCTTTTATTTTCGTTGTCATTGGAACTAAATTATATATAGTGTCTAAAAATATGTTAGTGCAAAAGTATCCATAGTTATTATACTTATTTTCAAAAGATTTTTTACAATGTTGAACAAAATGATTGATGATGAAGAATATTTTCTTCAAAATTTTACCATATGTACATGCAAGAAACAAAGTTGCAACACGTGTATTAATATAAATTTTTTTTGATTTTATTTGTATTTCGGAAATTTTCTCTTTAGTATATTCTTTTCTGAGATATTTAACCTTTTTAATGTCTTTAAAATTCCGCCATTCGGGGTTTTCAAAGAATTTATTTAATATTTTTACATTTTCCTTAATCTGATATTGACTAGGACTCACCTTTCATTGCTTAATTTTGTGTGATCTATGTTTAGCATCCACGCTCAAAATTAGAAAAAAAATTTAAATGTTTTCCTTCATTTTTTGATTACGTGTCCTGTTTCGTAAAAGGCTCACTTTATGTCTGCGTATAAAATATAATTTCTGAAAACTAAACCATTATGTCAGACATTTCTTATTATGTTATATAAATATTGACATTTATACATGCATTTTATTAATAGACTGTACAAAAATTCTATTTTTTCATTTCTTTAAAAATTTTTTTTATTATTTTAAGTAAAAATGATATTAGTCAAATATATTTTTTTTATGCTACTCAATGTATAAATTAGAATATATTTTTATGTATCTAAAATTTCTTCAATGTAGGACTAAAATACCTGACTCATACATGGACCCTCGCAAATTAAGGTTGACACCCTTATGAGTTATAATGAATGAAAATAAAAAAATTTTCGTGACTGATAATTTAAGAAAAATATATAACTATAAGAAACTAATAAAAAAAATTGTTATCTTTGACATTAATTAAGTGGCTCATGATAAATAAATCACTGTACAGTTTTTAGCTTCGATGTGAAGCTGAGAAGATATTATTTTTACTATGATGTGTTTTTTTTTGTCTGTGAACGCTCGATCTCAACTTTTGCTGGACCGATTTTGATGAACAATATGTGCAAAATATCACAAATTGTATCTAGTCGAAGTTATTACCCTCAAAAATTGAAAAAAATTCCTTCGTTCACCGTAAATGGGGGAAACCCCCCAAAAAATTACAATTTAAAAAATAGGTAATTTTCGACATGTTTTCATATGAACTACCTAACTTCCGGATTTATTATCAAATAATACTTAATAATTAATAATATGCACTAAAAAATAAAAAAATTGGACAAAGAAAAAATACTGACCAATAAATCTGCTATGAAAAAAATTACTAAAAAGAATAAAATAAATCAGACTAGAATTAGAATAAAATCAACTTTATTTTTTTTTTGGTAATGAACCATAAGGTTGGTTTTACAGCATTCTTTCATACTCCCTCTACTCTTCTCAGTAAGTGGTCATTCTCTTCAGTTCCCTGTAGATTCTCAGTCCGGCATCTTTAGTAAATTTTTTGATTAGTGTTGCTCTAAGACGTCCTCTGCCTCTCTTACCTTTCTATTTATTCTTCTAATATTCTGTGGTGTAGTTCCTCCTCGTGTCTCAAAGTATGTCCAATTGGCCTCCATCTTTTTTCTTTGATTAATAATCCTCTAGATTCGCCAATTTTTTTTAAGTACACTGTCATTTAAACGGAACTTTGTCCAGCCAATTCTTAGCATCCTCCGCCAGCACCACATTTCAAAGTTTTCTAAATATCTTTCTTCTGCTTTGTTTATCACCCAGGACTCTTACTTGTATAGAGTCAGGCTCCACACAAACACTTTAACTAGTCGTTTTCTCGTATGGATATTCATCTTTTTGAAGCTTAATAATTTCTTGCGGTTTATTAATGCGGTTTTCACCTGCGCTATCCTAGCTCTAATTTCCTTAGTGTGTCCTGAGTGATTAGACTGCCTATATATTTATAGCTGTTAACTTGTTCTATATAGTTATTTTCCACTTAAATTTGTAGTCTTCGTCTTTGTTGTAATTTTTCACATATCACAACTTTAGTTTTTTTCCAGTTTATTTTCAGGTTGTTTTAGTTTTATTCCTCAAAATACTTCTGCATCACTTCTAATGACGTGAGACACCCTTGTCTAATATCTTTCTGTATTTTTGCTGTTGCAGATTTGTCTTCTATTCTTATTTCTGCTGTCTGGTGTCTTTATACATTGTATATTAATTGCCTATACTTGTAATCCACTCCTACTAGCTGTAGAGTCTGGAATAACTTTTGCCAGCTCACTTTATCAAATGCCTTTTCTTGGTTCACAAAGGCAATCAGCGTGTCTTTATCTAGTTCTAACTGTTTCTCTATTAGAATTCTGAGACTTAATATTGCTTCTCTTGTTCCTTTATTCTTCCTAAAGCCATACTGGTAGGGGGTGACCAGTTGCTCTTCAATTTTATTTTCCATTCTTTTACATATTACTTTAACTAGTATTAATCAAAATACACAAAACGTATTTATTTGTATAATATATGATTCAAAAAAAATAAATGTAGTTACAAAATGCTTTTTTAAATTTTATATACGTTTTTTGAAAATCCTATTATTAACCAAAGTACTGAGAAGGAATAAAATCATCATAACAAATTTTTAATAATGTTTCAAAAGCCCGTCTTTTTAAAACCTACATTAAATTAAAGTAAATACAATGAACATTAAGATTATAAAAGGAAAATCATCCGAAAATTCGATTTCTAGTAGTTTTATTCTAGTCAAATAATTAAAAATGTATAATAGTATTTGTGCCAGCATGACGAATATATTGTTATTATTGTTTGACGTTATTAATAAACAATAATAGTCGTTCTAATTGTCAATTTAATCAAATAAAACGTTAAATCTGATTTTATAATTTATGGCAGTTAACAATGTGGTCAGAAAAGTAATAATAATGATAAATAAAACTAGCAGTTATTGCTATTAATTGTTTTAATCAGCAGCTATTTATTGCTATTGGGAAACAACAGCGCTACTACTACTACTACTATTCTTTACCATCACTAAAATAAATTGCTGCGCCTCTTACTTTTCTATTCTGTGCCCGCGTCTGCTGTCTTGTTGTCGATTATTATGTTAAATGTTTACTCATTAGTACTAAGCTACTTCATTGATAAACGAATGTGAACCTGGGCTGGCACTGACTCGAAAAATAACAACAATTGTAAATTATTATCCTAATAAATTGACTTTATTCCAATTCTAATACGACTTGTTTTATACTTTTTAGCAGTAGCGGCTCGTGGTTTTGGACGACGGGACGATCGCACCCCCTACTAAAATTAATTAAAAGAAGAAAATTAATTGTATATTCTTTATTCTACATTTTTATTAAAAATGCAAATTTTTAAATAGTAAAATAGTCATAATTTTTACGCTTTTGTCAACCCATTGAGGGCCATAGCGAGGAGGTTTCTTAACCATTTTATACTCCGGGACAGGTGGTTAGTCCATCGCCGAGATGGCGACTTCAAAGTACGGAACTGATCTCTCGTTTGGTAAATGAAGCCGCCCGTGACCGAGTTTCGAACCTAAGACATTGCGCGTCAAGCACTGCCGCGTTACCGACCCGGCCACACTGTCCCAAAATTAGGTTCATTCCTAACTGTATATTTTGTTGATGACTGATCGATAACAACTTTTAGACCAGTGTTTTGGAATTTAGCAAGTTTTTATAGCTGAAAGAGTGTAGTCGTGAAATAATGTGAAATGATAAAAATAGATACACCCGATTTAAACTAATACACTTGAGCAATAAATTTAAAACTACACAACGAATGAACGATAAATTCATTAATTATATTTAAAAGGCCACGGGGAAAACATAAATGTAAACTTATATTAAAAAACAACATAACCTGTATTGTATTATCAAATTTTTTAGTAGTGTCTCAAAAAATTAAGTTTTAAAAAATTGAAATTGAAGATTAATGAAACCATTCTTATAATTGTAATCAATATATACGATTCGTTATTTCTTTTGAATTACTAATATCTCGATATTACGATATTACATCTTTGATAACTATAAATATAGAAGAAATATCTACCAATGTGCTTACCGACTGTAAGTAAAACTAATTTCAGTTAAACTTTGTTCACTCATAAAAAGACGATTTGAATATTTCTAATATAGGAACTTTTCCGAATTTGAATATAATATTTTTAAAATGTTTATTCTCTAAGTTATCTTATAATTAAAACAAATAAAATGTATTGTGATTGACTTAATTCACATTTCTCAAGACTATTAGTACCTAATTGAAAATTTACTTATAGAATTGTTACATCTTATAATTATAGTTTTTGGTGAAAATAGTCTTTTTTTATGAAATATCGGTTTATTGCGGAAGAATATAAAACTGAATGTTACAAAAAAAAAAAAAATTAAATTAATTATGTTAAAAAAATTTTTTTTCTTTTAAATTTTAGTTAAGCTATTAAAAATTAAAATAAACTATTCGAATAGTATTATATTGTATATTTTTTACTGTAGTAACTATAGTATCACAAAAATGATTTTTTTTGAAAGCATTCAATTTTATTTATTTTTTGATTTAATAATACTAATATATTTTTATTAATTGATGGTATTAAAATTTAAATAATATTGAATGAGATGGACATTTTTAATTTTTTTTTTTCAGAAATTTACTCTATTTGTGCTTATGATAATACTTAAATTTTAAATCACGCCTCATGGAAATTTTTTTTTTTAATAAAAGAATCTGGACACTAAAGAGAAATTAAATTTTAATACCAAAAAATGTGTTGACTTTTCACATTTTCTCTAATTTTTATAGCAACGATCTATGTAACTTATTTAATATAAGTATTTTGTGCATTAAACTTTATCACTAAGAAGTTTAATTTGATTATTATTAAAAAGGCGGTAACATCAAATGTTACCTACTGATATCACAGTCATAGACATGTTTACAAGTGAACTGCGTTTTCTTACTCCCTCGACTATAACCGTATCTGCAAGATCAACTATTATATTTGTTAATAAGTATAAGATTGCAGCTAAATTCCTATTGATCCTTAGTTACTAGCTAACTTTGATACAATCATCATAGTCATAGCTGTCAAAATCACAAGAGTTTATGAAACATAATTTCTATCGATATAACTGTAAACATGGGATAAATAAATAATGTATTATGGATTTAACAAAAAAATTTCTATATTTCATAATTGGGTACACATAGTGTTGTCAAAGCAAAGTGGTAATATTACGAATGATAAATATCTATGTAGACAAATTTTATTGATAATTTATCTTGAATTATTTTTCTTTGGTATATTTAAAATTACATTTAGCACCGAAATTATGTTTGACTTTAACAGTTCTAAACTAGTTTATATACTAGTTTTTTATTTTAACATCATATTAATTATACCAATTTCAATGACAATTTACAAAGTTAATTTTCATATAGAATATAAAAAAATGACGACTAAACGGTATAAGAAATATTTAAAATGTATAACAATAATTGTGAATTGCGTATAATTAAATGTCATAGAATTTTAGGCTATGAGAATCGTTGTGTACTCAAAAATAAATAAATATAATTTTGTTTTATGTGGTTTTAGCTGTAGTTTTCAAAAAATGAAAAAAAATTATTATTCCTTTTAAATGGAGTAATTGTATACAAGAATCACGATTGATTTTAAAAATCGGTCAATTTCATCATTTTTCAACTTTTTTTATTTATTGGCATAAAATTTTGAAAATTAAATGAATAAATTCTGAAAATGAATTAATTTTACTATGATGAGTTTTTTTTTTTTGTCTGTAATCACTTATGTTCAGCTCTCACTAGACCAACGAATAATGTCTAAGTACATAAATTGAATCTAGTCAAACACTTTATCAAAAAAAAAATTGCCTCGTTTCCCGAAAATGGGGAGATCCCAAAAAATTACAAACTTAAAATCGCTAATTTCAAAATTTTTTCAAGTTTTATAGATACATTAGGTATCATTTGGTATATTTTTTGCAAAAATGTGACTCTTTACATGCCCACAGGGTAAGATTCAAAATAATTTTTCCACAAAAAAATTAATTAAATTTTTAAAAATGTTACGAAAATACAGACACTTATTGAAAAAAATCCCCTTTATCAAATAAAAAGTTGCTTAACTATCTTTCTCCATACAGACACAATTTAATTCATTTATTTCTAATATTTTTAAAGTATTTATTAAATTAGGGTTGATATAATAATAGGTTTCAACCACAAATTAAATAATTTTACTTTATAATTTATTAGTTTTTAACTCTATTACCAGTCTATAATATTCAAAATTTTTTAATAACATGTTTCTATATAAATCATTTCTAAAAAAATGATTTTTAATTCTCCTTAATTTAACGAATTTTTACAATTATAATCAAAATTATACGCTTAACTGAGTAGATTTTTAAACATTTTAAATGATTTTTTTAGTTAAAGTAAATCATTAAAATTAATTCTGATTATTAAAATTAGTTCTGAATATTTCAATTGTATATTAATTTTAAAAGTCAAAATTTACTTAGAAATGATTACTACGATTTCTATTTAAATGATCTATTACGATAAAAATGTAAAAAAATATTGAGCTTTTCTGATAAATTTATTGTAAATAGTAATTATAAAATTTCCTGACTGCATATTAATCTTAACAATACAATTTTTTTCTATTTAATGATTTCAATTTCAAACTGGCAAGTTGAGCTAAAAGTTATGGTAATATTTTTTTTTTTTTAAATTATAATCCATCACTTTAAAGAACAAAAAAAAAGTAGGTTAAAAATGATTACTTTTAACATGTTAAAAATCAAAATCAATAACTTGAAAACTATTTTTTTTTAATTATTTTTGAGTTAAAAAAAAATGTTTAAATCATTTGATTTTTATCTCATTTAGATTCAATAACTTTAATAAATATCAAGGATTCCATTACTGTAGTCTCCTCTCGTGAGATGAAATTCATATTAATATTATTTTACTATGTGGTTTTTTTTTTGTAGCTATAATTTATTTTCTCAGCTCTCATTTGAGCTACTACTTTTTTGACAAATTTTTTTTTTTTATTAAACACTATCAACAGATTTGCATCGAAGCGTTTTTTATGATAATGATTGTAATCACTGTCAGATGTCATCTATACTGGACCTGACTATGCCACGACCCCACTGTTCTATTTAATAATGTCAATTTCAAACTTGCAAGTTGAACTATAAGTTATGGTAACAAATTCATTTTTTTAATATATTAAAAATTTAAAATCAATAATAATTTGAAAACAATTAATTTTAAAAATTATATAATTTATAATTAAAAGAATTACTAATCAGTATAAAATAAAGAAAATTAGAGTTGATGTTGCTTTTGTAATTATCCACAAATTTCTTAGAATTAAACACTATCTACAGATTGGCATCGAAGCGTTTCTTATGATAGTGATTTTAGTCATTGTCAGATATCATCTATACTTGTTCTATCTATGCCAGGTCTCACTGTGTGGCGACCCTACTGTGCTGGGTTGGTTTTAACTCCCATAACTTTTTTTTTTCTTACAAATACAATTTTTTTTTTTGCCTATTTTCTTATAGTTTGATTAAAAATATCTGAAATTCAGCCCATGCCAGTGGCGTGCCTAGGACTTTTTAATGGGGAGGGATGTCATAACAAATAAGTATTAATACAACTAAATACATTTAATAGGGGTGAAAGAATTAGAAAAAGATTAATAAGGGAGCTTTAGAGGTCAAGCCTCATTAAAATATTTATTAATATTTTGTGTTTTGTATAATATGATGTAATGTTGTTATACAAATATACAATGTAATAATCACAAATTTATTCAATTTTTGCTGTTAGGTATTTGATGCTAGAAAAAAAAACAATGGGGGGTATATAGCCCCTAATCTCCCCCTCCATGGGCACGCCACTGGCCCATGCAATCGCCTGACTTGTTCATATCAAGTTGGTCCTAAATTTTAGGATCAACTATTTTTAATAAAATTAATAAATTTTAATAAAATTAGATTTTAATTTAATTAAAAAATGTTTAAAACATACATATATCATCAAATTTAAATTATTTTTATAAATCAACATAACATATCTGTCAATTGAGCAAATTAAATCTACTAAAATATTAACATTAAAACTATACAATATAGATAAAAATATTTATTATTAACATTTAAAAATAGCATTAAAATACATAACTCAATTTTTTTAAAATTTGATAAGTAATCACATTGTAGTTTAAAGAAATCTTTAAACTGAATTTATTAATTAGAGATACCATAAATATTTATTATCATAAAAATTGATAAATAAAAATTTTGACTAGAATAGAAATTTTCTTATTAAAAATTCTTCATTAAAAGTTAAAAATAAATAAATATAATACTCATGCTTAATAAAATAAAACAAGTAACATAATAAATGGATTAAAATTTCAATGACAAGTATAAATAAAAAAATATTATTTTTGTTTCTTTAAATGAGAAATATAACAAATGAATAGGTTTTTTTATAAATAAAATAGTTGGTTAAGATTGATCAAAGCTTCCTCGAGGAGAAGTATTATATTCATCGACTTCTTGAATAATAGATTCTGATTCTAATCGTTGACGATCAGCAAGCATTTCTAGTCTTAATTGGGTATTAAGTTTGATGATTCTGTTTTGTAATTTTGGAGCTAATTGACAGGTCTGTTGTTCCAAGTCATCAAAACTAGCACGGCGATTTAATTTAGGATGATGGTGATGAAAATGATGTCCAGAGGGTGGTGATGGAGAATGCGGGTAGCTATAATGGTGTATTGATAAACTTGTAGAAGTCAAAGATCCTCGTCTTAAAGGTGAAGGACCTCCTTCCCACTCATTACCTTCCATAGACTTAACTAAACTATGTCTATTAAATGATACTTATAAAATTTAATAAACTATAATATAATAATACTTAACTAAATTAAAAAAGTTAAAATTACCTTCTAGATAAGGTTACAAGACTTTGTCTGTGTTTTGAGAGTCGGCTGGATTTACCTTGTCTCATTTTTATAGCTGAAAAATGATTTTGAATAGCTAAACTTAATTCTGGGCATTCTTCTTCGTTTATCTAAAAATAGAAAAAGAAAATCATAATCATTTTTTATAATTAAGAATATTAATACAACATTTTTACCACAACGGGGGAGTTTTTTAACATTGTATATCCATCACATCCATTATGTAGGTAACATTTTGTGGCAAGTTTGTAAGACTGATTTAGCACAAGATATTCATCACCAATTCTTATCAAATTTGGTTCAACTCTATTGCCAGGTTCAGCATCAGGATCAAAACAAAAGCTTATGCCAGAAACTTGAGGAAATCTTCCTTCAGTTTTTGGATATTTAGATACACTGTTTTCTAATGCTTCCAGAATTTGTTGACCTTAAAATGAATAGTTTTTGTAACCCAAAGAAAATATTTTATTATGAAGAAATAATTATTTTTACTCACCTGACACTAAAATTACAATAGTAGGATCTTGCATGGGTACAATATTTACAAGATCACCTAGGGTGAAATCTCCTGATGGATGTATACGATCAGATCGAAAAGTACCAGAATTTAAAATTACTAAATCGGCTCCTGTTGCTGCTAATAAAACATCACACACCCAATTTCCAAGATTGGTTTCTTCTGTTCTAATTTTACTAAAGCGGCCTTCCAGTTCCACAGTGAATGTACCAAGTACTTCACCCATTTTTCCTTCCATAACATCTATAATTAAAATAAATAAATTATATCAACAAGAAATTCAAACGTTACTAGTATAATAACTATAATATCTAACCTAAGTAAGAATCTAAGATTTCTTTCATAGCAATATCTTCTTCTATATCTTTGGTAATTTCTATCCTTTGTACATCAATGGGATCACTTAAGTTATTTAAATTAATAGTAATTTTTGAAAATTCTCTAAAATCAGTCCCACTTTTGATAATATATCTATTATTTATTAATTGAATTTCATATGCATGATCATGACCTCCAAGAATTAAATCAATTTCATTAACATTTTCAGCTAGTTTTATGTCATTTGGCATACGCATATGAGTAAGTGCTATCACATAATCGCAACCATCCTCTTTGAGTTGTTTTGCTAAAGATCGACCAGCTTCAACAAAATCTATAAATGTTACTTCTTCAGGATCAATGGTGGCTAGAGTATCTAACCAATCACGTTCCACTAAACCAACTAGTCCAATTCTTCTATTGTGCCAATCAAAAACATGAGTAATTTTACCATCACCTAGAGGTCTGCCAGTTTCATTATCAACTACATTTGACATAAGCCATGGAAAATTGGTTTCAGAAACACGTTCTGCTAATACTTCCAAACCAAAATCTATTGGTAATAATTTTTTTTGTGATTAAATAATTTCAACAACAAACTATATTTTAAAACATTTTTTTGTTATGAAGTAACCAATTTTTTTTAAGTTTCGAATAAACTATTTGTAATGACTATAAACTATTTATCAGTTAATTATGTCATATTATTTTGTTAAATTGTAAGTTTTTTTTCTACTAGAATAATAAATATCAGAAGAAATTAATTTTAACTATGTTTGATAAAAATATAAATAAATTAATTATTATAAAAAGAAAGAAAAGAGAAAAATTATTGAAACTATCATATCATTAATTAAATGGTTTCATAATTGTTGTAAGTTATTACCAATGTTTCAACAAATTCTACGGAGATTCCAAAATATTAAAATGGCACTCAATCACATTGTTTATTTATATAATATTCATTGTCAAAAAGATTTTTATAACTTTACCAATTAATTATAAACAAAAAGTTGTTATAATGCAGTAAACTAACTTTAGTAAAAATATTGACACATACATTACTTCAATGAAAATGTATACATTTTAACAAACATCAGGCTAGCTATTTTATGAGATAAAATTTTATGGTAATTTTACCACTAATTATAGCTGTATTACTTTTTTTAATATTTTACTGATAAAATTATAAACAATTTTTATATACTTAAATTCTTTCTTAATTTTTTGAGTTCAAAAAATTGTTCAAAACATATTTTAATATTTTAAAATTTACTCACCAAATTCGTGATTTCCAAAAACAGCACACTGAGTACCTAAATTATTTAAAACTTTAGACATCTGTTCTCCCTTTGTAAAAGTACTCACTAAAAATAATAAATATCCAAATTATAAATAATTCATTTAAAAATTGTGTATATGAGTTAATTATTAAATATTTACTTACACATGCTTGGAGAGAACACATCTCCACTGAACAATATCATAGGTTTTAAATGAGAAAATGATTTTATCATAGTAGAAAATCTAGCTGCACCACCACAGGGTTCTTGATCTCTTGCTTCAACATTATATACATCATTAAAGTGAAGAATAATAAGGGGTGGAGTTGAATCTGATTTATGGTCTGTCATAGTATGAAGAGTACGTAAACTAGCGTGTTGCACTTCTAATGATGCCTTAAAGAAAAAGATACAAATAATTTGTCATAATTTAAATTAACATAATATGAATACTGAACTCAAATTACCAAATTAAAAGATTTATTAAGTTGTAACTATGGAAAACATTTTATTAATAAAATTTTATAAGTTTTTCTTTTGAAGAATTAAAAAATAAATAACAAATATTCACAGTTTAAGTGCTCTTTATATCAATAACTTGTAAATAATGTAAAGTAATTAAAATATATGAATTTCACTAATGGAGCTATACAAAATTTAAGCAATTACAGAAAACAATAGAACTTAAATAATGTCTAAGTTCAATTATACAGTTTAAGAAATAAATATTGTTAAAATATAGAAGATCTAACAATAGTAGTAAAATTGAGAACAGTGAGTTATTCATAATTTACTAATCAGCACATAGACAAATAAAACATACTGAAAAATCAAAATCAAAGTGAATTCTTATGTTCAAGGTTAGAAATATAAACATTATTGATAAAATAAGTACTTAAAACTGATGATCAAGATCTTGGTCTTAAAGTACTTAAAACAATGTAATAGGATTTAAGTGTTAAGGTATTTTACATAATTCATGGTTTTATTTTTATACCTGTTTTAACCAACCAACAACATTTCGGACACCATTTGAAACTTGACCTGCATTGGGAAGCTCTACAGTTGAAACTGTAGTAGAGTCCACAAATTCATCCCACTTTGATCTTAAACTAGATTTGGTAGCCATGCTGTTAGAAAAATTGATTCCTTTGGTTAAGCTAACTACAACATTTTTATGTTAGATAACATATCATTAATATAAGTATTAGCTTAAAACAATACGTGAAGTTTCAATACAAATATTAAAATTAATTAAAAAGACATCATCATTATCCTTGCCAGGTATTTCACACTTGAATATTATCTCTGCCAAATATAATCCACTAAGTCTGAGCTTATATCAGAAAAATATAATTATTAAAAAAATTATAAGGCCAACATTTTTTTCAGTCAACCTTCTATTTATTGTTACTCTTAATATTTAATTTAGTACATATAATTGAAAAAAACTTAATTTCTGTGCTTTTACAACATAAAAACTTTTAATTTGGATATTTAACAAAAAATAGCTTTGTTAAATAATTAGCACAGTGATTTTTCAATTATACATTAAGTACTTTTTTTTTTAAACCAATGAAAACAAGTAAATTATAATTTGTGCATTTATGGATTAGGTTTAGTGTTCATAGTAGAGAAGAAGAATGGAATTTATTTAAGAGTAAAAAAAAATATTTGATATTCAGACTAGAATATAGACTCTTAAGTTTTAATTTTTTTTTTATGTTTTTATTAACCCATTAAGGGCCATAGTGGCCTCCCCTAAAGGAGGAGGTTTCTTAAACATTTATACTCCAGGATATATAGTCCATCGCCGGAGATTGGGATAGCGACTCCAATTATCAAAGTGATCTCTAGTTCGGCAAATGAAGTCGTCCATGACCAAGTTTCGAATCTGAGGCAGTGCACGTTAAGCACAGCCTCGTTACCGACTTGTCTACACCATCTCACACAAGTTTTAATTTAAATAAAGTATTTTGCTAATTTTATTTTTAAACATGAAAAATTTTATATCTTGTTATATGTAATTATAGGGTGATTTTTTCAACATAACTCACTCAAATACTTACAGAATACTAATTATTTAAATATTTTTTTTTTTTTATTATCTTTAGTTACACATTATTCTTGAATTATTAACTAAGTAATACTTTTTAAGTTCATCCCTTATGCCTGATAAAGGTGTTAACTTTGTTTTTTTAAATGGGAACACATATTTTGAATTTAATGAAATGTTTGAGTTTTTAATTTAACAGCAAATGGCATTTGAACTTTTAATATAACTTTATTTGTTTAATAGATATAAACATTTACAGTTTCAAATTTTTGAGTTAATATACATGTATAATACACAAGGGATTACAAATACAGGTAGCAAATTGATTTTTTATGACATTGATATAAGAAGATACACACCATTGTTATTATCAATGGTAGTAAGGCACATTGTTGTGAGTATATAAATACACTAACTGACAATACAGAAAGGATATCTATTGATAGTCATAATTAATAATAAAAAATCCTAGACTATGACAGCAATGTCATAAAAAATCAATTAGCTACCTGTATTTGTAATCCCTTGTGTATTATATATGTATATTAACTTAAAAATTTGAAACTTTAAATGCTTATATCTAACAAACAAATAAAGTTATACTAAAAGTTCAAACGCCATTTACTATTAAATTAAAAACTCAAACATTTTATTAAATTCAAAATATATGTTCCCATTTAAAAAAACAAAGTTGACACCCTTATCAGGCATAAGGAATGAACTTAAAAAGTATTACTTAGTTATTAACTAATAACTTATTTTTTGAATTATTAATTCAAGAATAATGTGTAACTAAAGATAATAAAAAAAAAAAATTTTTAATTATTATTATTCTGTAAGTAATTGAGTGGGTTATGATACAAAAATCACTCTGTATATTGTACATTATTTAAAAATTGCATACATTTTGAATGAATTGAAATTTAAAAACACTCTCAGAAAAAATCCAGTAGATATACAATAAAAAAATATTGTAGGATTTATATTTTAAATTTCTTAAACTTTATAAAGCAACACAACATTAATTATATTAATATAGAATAAAAAAAATGATTATTTAATTGTTAAGTTCTACAGACAACATAATATTATAAACAAAAATTAATGATTAGTAAAATTATTAGTTAAATAAATAAATGTTGTTGTTGTAAGTCATGCATACTAGTAATTCAATGTCATTATTGTAATAACTTATTCTATAATTAGACTATAACACCTTAATGTAGAAGGGCAAAATGAACAAATAATTAAGAAAATTTGATTATTTTATGGGTGAAAATAAATTTTTTTTTAATTGTTAGGTATTAATAAACACCTGCCTTGATATGATGAACAAACGTATTCGTCTCATAGCAATCATAATTTCAAAATTTCAGCACACTAAGATTACTAAAAACTATTATAAAGTAAATTTATAAAAAGCTAAATAAATTAGTATTTTAAACATTGTATTTCTATGAAATTGCAATAAAAAAATAGGTACAATGAGACATTCTCTTGGTAGGAGTTCCTAGGCATATAGGTCATGGTGTTTCTGCATACGAGACATTTCCTAAACGTATTGATTTTTTCCCACCTTTTCCTACAGCGGTATGTAAAAGGGCGCTGTATAACCATTTAAAAATAAATATTGTAAAATTAAGATAAAACCTTACCTGATATTTTTAAGTAGAGCAAAAGTTTATCTATTAATTTAACACATAGTATACACTTAACGAATAACACCAATCTGTGGGCGACTTTAATTATAATTTTGATATAAAAAAAACTTCCAAGGGAAATTTAATGTATTGTATATTTCTATGTTATCACTTATCATATCCGGGCGAGCACGTTTTGGATAAATAATCATATGTTATACTGAAGATACTAGTAATGTATAATGTCTTTGAGAATTACAGTTATGTTAAGTTATATTACTCAACGGTTTTAAATGTTAAATATTTTTTATATATAAATATATTTATATTTTATTTAAACACCTACTTATTAAATTATTAAATTACCTAATTATTAAAAATATATTTTATTTTATTTTAAACATAGTAGTATGATTTGGTTTCAACAATTATTGTTAAATTACCAATGACAAAAAATATGTATGTTTTCAATTTTATACATAATTGTATATTTATTTATTTAATTATTTAAAACTATTACATTACACAATTATTTTAACTTACAATAATTTTATTTTAATGTGATGATTGAGTACAGATAGTACTGTGTATCACGGGCACTTGAGTAAATTAAAAAAAAAAGTATTTGTGGTATTCCATTTTGAAAGCTGATTCTATTTCTAGAGAGTGAAAGGACTAGAATATGATCAAAAAGAGAAAAATACTAGGCTTTTTTTTTTTTTGGTGTCAAAAATGAAATTATAAATGTCTATCGAGGGAGCTAAATTAATTATAAATTTTTGCGTGATTCTTTATAATTTTAGATATATTTACTTTTTTATTTATTTACATATGTATTTTCAATAGTTGATTTGTTAAACATTTGAGTTGAAACCGCTACTATCATGCACACTAAATTTTAGTTATGAACTTGACAACTGACGAATTCCTACAATATAATGGAGTATCTTGATAAGTTTTTGCATATTATTGCGTATACAAGAGAGTTACGAACATTATTATTTTTATTTTAAATCAAAATATCGAGCTTTAAAATATTTATCTACACAATAACTATTTTTTACTAATTTTTGCTATAAATTGTGTTCAATTATTTTCAACTTTTTAGGCTCAATCCTAATAGATGTACCTTTTTTTTTTACTCTTATTAAAACATTTTTAAAAAAGAGTAAAAAAAAGTTTAGTATGATTACTAAACTTATTTTAAACCGATTTTCATAATGAGTTCCCAACTTTTTACAATTTTAAACAGGGAATGATAAGAGTCCATTGGAACCCCAAAACCCTTTGCATATGTCTAAACCCAAACTCAACCGTAACCATAATTTGAAATTTTTAAAAAACTGAATTGCAATCAAAACTATTTAATACAAGAAAAAATTGTATTTTTTTTTTAAGATAGAAGGACACTTTAATAATTTTAAAACTTTGTTCTGAGAAGTCTGAAATCATAAATGAGGTCGACGTTAAACACATATTAATATTGAATTATTATTGTAGTAGCCACTTATCATTTTTTATTACTTATGTCCAGAAGTTACATATTCATTGTCTCGGTCCTGATTGAAGCGTTCCGACGGTAAAAATAGACATGTGGATATTTTAGCTAATCGATAAAAATAGTGTTCGCGTAGCAGTTGTAAACTTTTAGGGTAATTATACAGGTGATAAAAATCTAGTAAGACACTCATTTTCAAGTTAAAAAAACTCTAAAATAATATGTAGTCAAACCATAATTTTTTTCGTCTCATCAAGGATAAAAACCCTTATTTATAATTTTCTTAAATGGATACCCTTATTTTTAACTTTATAATATGATAGAAAAAATAATTACAAACAATTTTGTTCTTATAATTTTTATTATCCGATTAACCGTTCGTCCGTTACAGATTGTTAAAGTTAAGTGATTTTAGGCCAAATTTCTATTGTCATTTTATTGTATTAAATATAGAAGTCATTATTTTTATTTGCTGTTGCATAAACCAAATTTTATTGATTAAGTTATGACAGGTAAATTAGCTATAAAAATTTACTACGCACTAAATGAGTGATAACAATAATAGATTCAAACCGGGTTTCGGTGTATTATTAATAGCTAAGTCTATGGTTTTGTAAGACTAAAGGATCTAACAAAAATACCGGTTGCAATGCCACCGATATTATGAAAAGTAATAAATGATAATATTTTTTCTGGAAGTCAAAATCTTTAAACAATTATAAAACGTAAACGGTTGTTCGGTAAACAAAATTGTTTGTAATTTTTTTTTCTATCATTATTAAATCAAAAATAGTGGTTCCCATTTAAAAAAATTATAAATAAACATTTTTATCCTTCAAGGGATAAAAAGAAAGTTATTTAACTCATATTATTGTAGAGTTTTGTAAACTTAATAATTTTTCTTTTTACAAAAATTTTAAATTCTCAATAGTATCTTAGAAAATAAGTGTCTTACCAGATTTCGATTACTCTGTATAGTTTGAAACGCGTATTCTTTGTTAATTTGAATTCTTGCATTTTATATATATATATATGTGGGAAAATGCAAACAGGCAATTACAGGAACAGAGCGAAGACGCAATACTATTATTTAATTTATATATTTATAAATTAATACACAAAAACTCTATTAAATGTTAACAAGCAAAAATAACACAAATATTTAATTACGCACGAAAATTCTATATAAAATATTCACACAACACAGAAATATTATATAAAACAGAATACACTTATAAACTAAAGAATATACATAGAGACACGTTTTAGCCGACTCACGACTTGACTTAATCTCCCTCTATGTACTTGATACCACTATCTATCTCCAGACCCTGGAAGTGGTGCCATCTAGATACCAATAGTACCCACATTTCGACCCTCTTCTTGATCAGTCGTCTCGACTGATTGACAGTTTTCCATCTCTTCTTCATCAGCTGTATCTATTTGGCTCCATGGCTTCATTTAGTCAACACCAGATGATGTTCTAATGGGACCTTCAGACTCACCAATTTTGACCATTTCATATCTGTCTGGTCCTCTACGTTTGGTTATTTGGTATGGGCCCAAAAACTTTTTATGAATTTTGGAAAGTGGCTTGAATTGTGTCCTCAAAATAGCAACCAAATCATCTAGGTGATACTTATGTGCTTCCTTTCTCTCTTTTTTAAAAGTTTTACGCTGTTCTTCTTGAGCTTTAAAAATTTGTTCTTGTGCTTCCTTACGTAATTCATCTCTCTCTTCCACAAAAGCATTTGTATAGACTGAAGCTCCTTGTAATTTATCTATTTGATCATCTATTAATGGCAAAGAGTGTATATCTTTGATTATTTTCCTATTTAACATCCTGTAATCTACACAGGGACGTAGAGAGTTATCTTTCTTCCTGACCAAAACTATTGGACTAGCATAGTCAGAACAACTAGGTCTAATAATGTCTTCTTGTAACCATTCTTCTATTTGTTTGTCAACTTCACATGTTTCCGCTGGAGATAGGCGCCGTGGTTTTTGATATACAGGTTTTTCATCCATTAGTAAAATAACTGTTTCAATCGGTGCATGTTTTACTTTATTTGGTTCATAATCTTTCACTATATTATTAATTTCCTCTTTATAAGTTGATGCACCTATGTTGAGCTGATTACAAGGTATATTAATAGACATTATTTGATTTTCTTCTTCTTCAAATTTAGTTATTCTCACACACTTAGGATTTATGTGCAGTTCAGCACTTGTTTGAAATATAACTTTTCCTACTAACAGGTCACATGTAATGGCTTCATCAGGAACAACATAAATATCAGTAGTATATGATGATCCATCAACACTTAATTTGCAAGTAAATACACCTTCTGTGTAGAACTTAACTCCTCCTGGTCCTCCTAGTAAAGTTTTATCTTTACGAATTGTGATTTCATCTAACTTCCACATAAATGACCTTCGACAGAGATTCACATCACTACCAGTATCAACTAAAGCATTAGTTTCTACACCTTGTATATCAACTAATTTACTTATACGATTAGTAGGATATATGCCATCAATAACTTGATTCACTTGTATTTTAACATTTTCATCTCTTTGACTTCTATCAGTATTTGGTCGACTAGTTGATGGACGATAAGAACATGATGATGCTTTATGACCAAATTCCTGGCATAAAAAACACTTAAATCCTTTACTAGCATCAGGACAAGAACTAGAACGGTGACCCTTTGCACCACAGTTGTAGCAACGATTAATGTTTGCTGATTGACCTTCATGTTTATATGATTTAAATGAAGCATTAGGCAATTCATTCAAATATTTTTTTTCGCTGAAGTTTATGTTTGACTTTGTATTTGCCCTTACGTTTAACTTCATCTTCTCATACAGTTCAAGTTTCAATTTTAGCTCATCAATGGATGTAGCGCCATACAGTATCATCTTGTTAACTTCCAAGTCTCTTATACCAGCTATAATATAATCAATAAGAGAATCTTCTTCAATATTGCCTAGCTGAGCAATCTGTTTCATCTTGAAAACATACTGCTGATACGATTCATCAATTTTCTTAAATCGCTCAGATAGTGAACGATGAATAGCAGCTGTGTTCATACGACTTTTAAACTCATTCTTCAGTTTATCTTTTAAAATTGTCCAAGTAGTAATTCCTCTTTCCGATTGAATATATAATTGAGCCGTTCCCATTAATAAACGTTTACCATAAATTAACTTCTCAGGATCGGACCAACGTAGTACACTAGCCATTTCTTCAATTTCTTCAATCCATCGATTAACTGGATAAGCATCATCACCAGAAAACTTTGACAGTGATTCTTCAACATCTCTAAAGCTTAAATGAGATTTGCTATGCTCAAGTCTCAAAGCAAATACTTCCTCTCGAAGTCTAGAAACTTCGTCCATAGTTTCATTAAAATTTTTATTTTTAGGCATCTCGAACTGTTATATAATCAAAAAGTTTAATCAAATTCAAATTGATGTTAGAAACCGATTAACAATAACTAGATCTCGCGAAAACGAACAAAGAAAAATTGCGCGTTTACTCAACCAAAATGGAGTCGTATACTAATACAATTACAAAAACGTTTTATATATTTTCGTCACTAACAACACTTATATAATACACGACAAATAGTTTGAATTTTTCCGGATGTTGAGTAGTCAAGATATCTTCTCCAATCTCTATTCCCGTTTGTTGACCGATGATTATCCCGGACAGGCCCCCAAAAAATGTGGGAAAATGCAAACAGGCAATTACAGGAACAGAGCGAAGACGCAATACTATTATTTAATTTATATATTTATAAATTAATACACAAAAACTCTATATAAAATATTCACACAACACAGAAATATTATATAAAACAGAATACACTTATAAACTAAAGAATATACATAGAGACACGTTTTAGCCGACTCACGACTTGACTTAATCTCCCTCTATGTACTTGATACCACTATCTATCTCCAGACCCTGGAAGTGGTGCCATCTAGATACCAATAGTACCCACATATATATATTATATGAATGATTGAATTCAAGAAGTTTAAAATTGTTTAAAGATTTGTTTTCCAAGTATAAAATGTTTGATTATTTTGTTTTCATAATACCGAGGCAACAATAATATGTTCCTATGGGCCAATAAATAATAAATTATTTTTATGGTGTTTATATACCTGCTACTGTTTGTTTAACGGCCAATTAGTTTTTGATCCATTTTTTATTGATGATGTACTGATTAGCATACAGTAGTCATCATTTGTCTCGGGTACAACTCGATAATATTCATTATACAAAAATGACATCTTAAATAATTCATGTCTATTTTTTATTATACGTTATTAAATGACTGGAGTGGAAAAATTTTCTTGATAACTACCATAAAAGTAATTTATTTTTGTTGGTCTATTGAAATAGATTATTGCTGTCTCGGTATTATTTAAATGTTTGATATTGTAAAAAAACACATGAGAAATTCAAATGTACACAAAATTGTAATTATACAGATAATTTACTACTGATAATTAATAAGTTACTTTTTACCAATTTTTTTTTTAAATATTAAACATTTTTGGTAAATTATAAAAAAAAATTATTTTTCTAATAATAAAAAAAAATTATTTATTATAAAAATTTTATAGTCACAACGTATAACAATTATTTAAAAAAAAAGTAACATATAATAGTGACTGGATCAAAAATTATAAGAGTTGATAGAACGCGGGATGACTCTTACTATTTACTATACTTTCTCACTATATGTATTTATACAATGATCGGCTTATCATAAATCACACGATTACTCAAAAAATAAATACAATATTAGAAAAAAAAATTGATTTTTTTTAGTTATAAGTAGGATGTTCAATAAGTAAGGAAACGGGTTTCTATTATTCTCATTGTTTTATAACAATTTGTCTGTTTCCTTACTTACTGAAAACTCTGTATATTTCTTGACACATCAGCTAATAATGAATTTTTAGAATCATCTCTTATGACTTAAAGGTGGGTCAACTTTATTTTTTCAAATATATGTATATTAAACTAGCTCATAAAATAAAAAAATAATTTAATTAAGAAAATTACTGGTCGATAACAACTTTTGGACCAGTACTTCCGAAGTTATTCTCACTTTTATATCTAAGCGGCACGAAGAGTACAACTTGTGATAAAAAAATCAGTACTCACTCCTCTCCTACAGCCTTTACTATACAATTTTCATATTCCGAAATACTGGTCTAAGAGTTGTTATCGACCAGTAATTTTCTTAATTAAATTATTTTCAATTTTATAACTTAGTTAAATATGTATTTTATGTGATATGATATATATACTTTTTTCTCTTATACCTTTAAAATTGAAATTCCAACAATAGAAATGCTCTTGATTTATCGCAGTATCAATATATAAAATATTTGATATATGGCAACTCATTGATCTTTTGGGGCATGCTTATGAATCGATAATATATTAAATAGGAATAATTTTTTTTTTGGTAAAATATTAATCAGAACAGAAATATTGATAGAAACGAAAAATTAGGAAACGTACTTTCGAGGAATGAAAATACATGCGACAGTATTATATCGAAAAAAACTAATGCCAGAATGTATTACAGAGGAAAATATTCTTTGAAAAAAGTAATATTGTATATCATATTATCATGGAATATATTATCAAGGAAAATATTTTTCCATATTATATTATTATGTAGTATATTACTAAGGAAAATACTTTCTCGATATAATCATTAATAATTATCATTGTTAAAATAATTAAAAAAAAAAACTAAATTATTGTATTTATGCCTATCTGCCCTTAACCTTCATCATTTGGTTTCTTTGTTGTAAAGTGTAGGAGAGGGTATCAAAAAATAAAATATATATCTATTTACGAATTCAATATACAAGATTGAAATTTTTTTAAATTGTCATAGAAAGAGTACAGCCAGGAAATGACTAGTGATAAAAATAACAATACCTTCGTTTTATCTCCAACCATTACTATACAAATTTAATAATTTCCGAATTCTGGTTCAAAAGTTGGTATCGGCCAATGATTTTATTAAATAGATTATTTTCTATTTTATAAGCCAATTAAATATGTATGTTGTATATTGCCATTAAAAAAAATTAAGTTGACATTTCTTTAAGTCATTATTAGCTGATATATCAAGAAATATATGTAATTAAAAGATATCAAATTTTTTTTTTAATATTGTATTTATTTTGCGAATAATCGAGTGGTTTACAATAAACCGATGACCTTGTATATGAGACGTGACGGGTACCTAGACTCCTATTATACTCGGTATGATATAGGTTATCGTTAATTTATTTTGTTTTAATCTAACATAATTTTATTATTTTTGACGACTTAAAACGATATAAAAAATATATAATCATTATAATTATTACGATAAACAGAGATGAAATTTAGACAATTTTATTGTAAACAAAAATAAATTAAAATTAGAATTAAATTAATGAAATTTATTAATTTCATCAATTTCGTATAATTATCTAAATCAATGTAATAGTTTCAGTACTGGAAAATAATAAGTATTTTTTTTAGTTAATCAAAAGTTTTTCAGTAAATAATATTAGATCATATAAGTAATTAAACAATAAAATTACTTTTATTGATACTTAATATCATAAGCATAAAGATATTAAGCAAATTTTTAACTGGTGGTCATCGTCACAGATTTTTGACAACCATTGAGCCTAACCATTTATTGAAAAAATTAGATTATTACTCAAAATATTTTCTTTCTGTCAATTATATGTCAAATGATATAAAACATTTATTTTTCTTTGGAGTCATATTGTGTTTTCACAAAGTACGTGGTTAATGTACCCTTTCCTTTAACGAATGTTGGGCCTCGACATTCACATTCATAACCAGCTGACATCAAAATTTTTGCTGTATCTTCGGTAACCTTGAAAATAAATTTGTTGTTAACAATAGCAATTTTTTAATTTCTATGATAAATTTTTTACCTGTATCCTGCCCATTATACCACAACTATCCATCCTAGAAGCTACGTTTACCGTGTTACCCCAAATATCATATTGAGGCTTTTGAGCTCCTACTACGCCAGCTATTACAGGACCATGATTAAGACCTATTCTCAATTTAAATCTCTGGAATGATTCTCGATTTATTTGCTCTAAAATTGTCATTAATGCAATAGCAAATTCTACTAAAATTACTACATTGTGTTCTTGTTGTCTGTCGGCTGCCTATAAACAATAAAAACGATTTCAATGAAAATCAATACAAGACTGTTTAAGTTTGAGATTTAGTAAAATAAAATTTAGCTAACATTTTGAAATTTTTTCCCAAAAAATGTTTTACTTTCTCGGAGTAATAATCACTAGGAATTAACATTGTTAACATAATTTCAAAAAAAAAAACTTAACTATCGTATCTATGCCTATAGCTCCTGACCTTATTAATTTGATTTATTTGTTGTAAAGTGTGGAAGGAGGTTTCAAAAAAAAAAAAAAAAAAATAATAAAATGTTATTAAAATTATTAACGATTCATTTGTTAAAGTGAATTATTAAAAAAAAAATCAATTAAACTATAAAAAATGATGTTTGTCAAATTTGTATAACTATACTCTAGGATAATAATAGTTTAAACTAAAATTAATAATATGTAATAACACGATTCATTTGTATAACATAACACTTCGAAAAAAATAATTTTAAATATATAAATATGTAATAACTTAATATAATTACGTGCTGAAAAAAAGGAATTTTAACTACAAGATCACCTTTAATTTGCTGTCTTCTTTTCCTGGCCTAAGACCTGATGCTAACATATATGTACTTCCTATTGTTTTAATTTTTTCAATTGAACTAAATTTGGGCTTTAATAAAAGCTGCAAATATCAAAATAATAATTAATAATTTTTATTGACATACAAATTCTTGATTATTTACTATCTACATATGAAATTTCTGATTATTTACTTTATCGAAATCACATATAATTTCATTTAGTAGTCGGAGACATTCGAGTCCTTGTTTGTTGACGTCGTTTTCATCGTAAAACTCTTTATAATTTGGTATAGAAGCAAACATAACTGCAATACAGCTGTAGCGCTCATGGTATAAATCCTAAGTTGTTATAAAGAAATAAAAAAAAAGTGTTACAAAAAAATTTTTTTGATATTTTAGAAATTAACCTGTAGTGCTTGTTCTCGAAGAAAATGTTCAGCGACGTGAGCTGGTAAAATGTTTTCCAATAGTATTTTGTTGATACCTCGCATCGTTTCAACTTCTTCTTGTTCGACTTTTAATTTTGCTCGCCATAGAAAATCCGTTCGTGCGGAAAGTTCATTTTTTCGATCCAAAATAATAAATATGACCATTAAAAGTACTATTGGAGCCCATATTTTTAACTGCCATGGAATTTCTCTAGAATGAGAAGTCATTAAAGTATTGTCAAATTGAAGGCCTTGAGGCAATAACAACACATGTCGATTTTTTTTTTTAATTTTTAGTAGAAACAAAAAATATTCGGAAATATCTTGTTGTTGCATAAAAAACACAACGAAACATGTTCATTTTTTGGCCAAAATCATTTTTTTTCCTTGTAATTAAATAAAAAATTATAATCTACTTGACATATCTCGTTATTATAATATCCAAAAATGTCTAAAAATGGTTTTATACATAGAGTTATAATACTAATGGACATGTCTTGATGTGTTTTCTATGCAACAACAAGACATTTCTGAATATTTTTTTTATCTGCTGAAATATTAAAAAAAAAATCGACATGTCTCGTTGTTACCTCAACTTCAATTATAATTTGTTAAGATTTTGGATTTATGTACTCACGACTCATCATATTCCTTGAAATGATATTGAAACAATGGTAACGATTGATATAGCGACAAGTGTAGTATGGAACACAAAATCATTATGAAAAGTTTTAGAGTGATACCGATTCGTAGAAACACTGCAATCGACATCAATGTAAATATTGTGTTATACATGAATGCCTGAAATTTAAGTGGATATCAAAAACAAAATCGGTAATTAATTACGATTTACTATTAACTTACTAAAACAATAGAAGATAAATGTATATATTCATCTGGAGCCATATTATTAGATGAGTTTGAAGTGATGTTTAGTAGTGGATAGTCTAAGGTTATATTTTTGAAAATTGTGTTTTCATCATATTTATTATCAGAGTCTAACTAAAATACATTAATTTCCATAAAAACATTTCCTAACAATACTTTTAAAATCTTGTTCTTGTACTCACTAGTAGGATTACAGTACATACTCCTACTAAGGTCGATGTTAATAAAAAAATAGCTATTCGAAGCAATCTGGACGAACCTACGGATATGTTATCTTGAGAAGCACAATCGTAGGCCGGCATCCAGCTAACATAAGTAAAAACTGATAATGTTAAAAGAGAAGCTCCTTGAGATATCCACATTGTCAACGTTCTTGAGATACAAAAATTAAAAAAAATATAAATTTTTATGTTAAATAGTTTTTTGAACAATTTACTTAGGAATCATTAGTTGTTGAGTAACAGTGATACAAAGAAAAATTGCTAAAGCGGCAGTACTGTAGTATTTATAATACGGGTCATTTTGATTTCTATATTGAGATTCTTGAATTCCATTTTTGAACCACAAGCATACCGGGTTGAAATCTTCTATACTATAACATTTTCTAAAACATGTAAGTTAAAATTAAATTGAAATAGTAAAATAAATGAGAAAAATAAATTTAATTCCACTTACTGGCAATCTAAACAAGTGTTTTTGGAGGGCAATAAATTCGATTCGATCATTGCTAAACTCTGGAATATTAATGTATACAAGAATTTAGGACATCAGTTTGATCAAATTAATAATTTATATATATTTACCGCAAGTCCGATGTTTTTTGCCATTGTACTTTCAGTTATATTAGCGAATGGTTTGTCTGCTCCCCAGCACTCTATGTATTTGGTCATTTTACTCGGAGAACGATTTCTATTTACACCATCATCCTGAATGCGTCCGATATTTTCTACATGCTTGTTTCCTTTTGAATCCAACGCCTTACCGTTTGCCTGATAAATAAGCCAATTATACCTAATTATATTTTTTTTTATGGTTATGAAAAAGATAAATTTTTCACGATAAAAAAAGTTTAAATAAACGTCATTTATTTTATTTAATAAGAAATATTTTATATGTGGTAGGTAGGAAGTTACAGTTTTCAATACTTCAATGCTAAAGCCGCACCAATGATTTCATGAAAGCGTATGACACGTTTTAATCAATTTAATGATACTTTCATCATTTGTTTTACTACTCGTAGTCTACAATAAAAGTTATGTGAACATTATTCAATTTTCATATAGTGTGCTTATTCTAGTTCACTGATCTAAATTATAGGAAGTCGAATCGGGATGAAATCCAAGAATCTACGGCACGTTATAAATAACAAATAATTGGGTTTGATTTGGTTTGGTTCAAAAATTAAATACTTTTTTGTTATTGATTTTGTGGTGATTTCGAAGTGTTTCGTTTAATAATACAATACGGCGATTGAGCAAAGAAAAATTAAAATTTTACTAGTGTTTTTTATGTTTTTATTAATTAAAAACGATGCAAATGTATTTTTTATTTTATAATTATTAAAAATATTAAATTTATAATTCTAACTATACGTTTTATAATTATAATTTAGACTGTATCTTCTCATAACTAATCATTTATATATTTTTATTTTAATTAAAATAATTTGAATTAAATAGCACTTAATAAAATAATTATTATTTTATTAAGTGCTATTTAATATCTTGATAAAAAAGGTCCAGATTAGTTATAAGAATAAAATAAAAATGCGATAATGATAAATAAAAAATGTTAGTTCTTTAAACTTCATATCTATAATAGTAATTATATTGTTCTCATAGGTAACTCATATGTGATACATGTTTAAACCATGTCAAAACTACTAAATAAGATAGGCCTAATAAAAAATCAAATCAATTTTTCCGTGTTTTAGATAGTTTTGATTTTTTTTTATCAGTAAAAATTGTAAATTTTAATATTTTATACGGCTTAGTTTAAGTATAAGGACTAGGATTTCATAAAAAAATTTTTAAAGTTTAAAAACTTTTTTTTAAGAAATGATTTTCTGAAATAATATACCAAATTAAAATTTAAAAATTATTTTAATTCATTGATATTCGATAGAATTTCTATTTTTGATGTAAGAAAATGTTTAATAATGTGTTATTTATATTTTATTGGTACGTGTAAAAACGATAAAATTATTATAATATAAGAGATAATTATATAAATTAATGTTTAAAATTATTAAATTAGATATTAAAGATATTATGTCTTCTTACTTGTAGCAGCTTTTCGTTAAAACAAATATGATATGATCTTATCAGCTCAATAATAATAAATCTTGTAAAATATTCGAATTAATGCATTTTAATTATTTTTTTTGTAATTTTATTTTATAATCTAATACTTTTAATAACCTACCGGTTATCTGGTAAATTAAACTAAATTTATGTAAAAAAATGATTAAAGGTTTTTTTTATGGATTTAATATGGTTTTATCATGACCAGTATTTGGGAAATTTTTTTTTGAAAATGCCAATTGGCAATTACATATTTTAAGTATTAAAAAATATATTTTGAATATATATTTTTTTAATATTTGTATACATATTATGAATACCTTTCCAATATTTTTTCGAATATTTATTCTGTATACAAAAAAAGAAATTTTTTACAAGTCTAATAATAATAGATACGTATTAGTTCGTAGTTCAAGGTTGTTGATTAAGAAATTATTTATTTTAATCATAATAAGTTAAAAATGGCATATAATACAATCCTTTTTTTTTTTATATGCCATTTGTTGTAATTGAATGGGATAGGTATTTTTTTATAAAAAGAAAAGAAATATTTGTGCGTAAAGAATTCCTTAAGGCTATGTATTGTTGTAGTTTAGACAGCCTAAACCGATGGTAAATACGGGTTAAAACGTGCGGCGCCAAGGGTGAAGTTAAATCAGAACAAAAAATGCAAATGGACTGTTTGAGACTGCAGAAAAATATACGAAGCTTAGTAGTCATATTATTAAAAGCCAGCGTATGCTCTTTGTTGTATATTTTGTATTGTTCGCGATACTTAGTATTTATCTACTTAAAAACTTTACATATTTCTTTATTTACAGAAATACACAATATGAATTTAGAGTCGTTATTTAAACTGTGTTATATTTGAACATATTTTTTTTCCAATTTATAATACTCATTTCCGACCTAAAAAATCACGATCCATTTCAGTTGTTTGCTCAGAGCTTTTAAATGCCGAAATGGCTCGAGTGAAAAATAAATAAAAATGAAACTTTCGAGTGATCTTAAGGTTTTACGTTTCGCTCACTTTTACGATGTCATCATAAAATGGCAAGTTAAGTTAAACGCATCCGGCTAACTGCGGACTTAGTATACATATGTCGGGTTCGGTGGGTTCCGCAAGGCTGACAAAACGTAGTAAGTAACGTTGTAACTACAAAGAGTAGTACAAAACGGTTAAACGCACGTACCAGTTTTGATCTCTCGAGTCTATTATTTTGATTTTTTATAGATTCCCGTAGTCGACCTTTTGAAATTTTTGTCTTCTTTTCTCGGCATAGAAGAATATTTTGTCTCGTTGAACTTTTAAGTCATTGCACGTGGCTTAAGTTATTAAGATAACGTGTGTCGGCCACGAAAGCTGTAACTCAATTTACCTCGCGGTTTAGATAGTTTTCAACAAAAGTAGTGATCTGTGATGGATCGTCTTCGATCCAGTATATGTAACGGATGAAACTTGTCCTAATAAGGACGAGTATTATATACGAACTAATAAGTCTATATATGAATTTTATTCATGAAGTTGAAATACTGTACAGTGATCTGAGTATACTTACGGTTTGCTCAGATGGGTGTATAATGAGGAAAGTTTCGACTTTGTGGTCTGCCAAGTAACCTTCTCTAGAACCTCCGTTACCAGGTTCAACGGCGAATCTGCCATTCAACTGTTGCATTGTGGCTCTTGTTATGTGTACACGACTGTAATTTTAGTATTAAGAGTATGATTAGTATTTTTTATTTAATTTGAACATTCTATGCTCCCTCTTTCAACTTAAAAATAAGTTTTTCAAGTTGTACTCATAATTCAAAAATGTTATTTTTACCACCTTTTTTATTTTTATTAGATTACCTTTAAAATTTTTTTTAATATACTTTTAATTAAACAACAAATTTAATATTAAAAAAGTTTTGTTTGAAATATTCTTTTTTAGACGGTGGTGTATTTAGCCATTTTTCCTGACGGGAAATATGTCACATTTGTTAGTAAAACTGATTTAAAATTTATCAAGTAATCATTATTTACTTAATTATTATAACTATAAGTTATTATGTGAGACATGTAATGTCGGATTAACAGGAGAAACGCTGTATTTTTAATCATATTTACGTAGTTTGTACGTGAACATTGTACAAATGTCTATTTTTTAATGTTACACTTTTATGTAAGTACCTCGAACGCGTTATTTAAGTTGAGTTCTACCTCAAAGTTAACAAAGTTAAGAATGATTATAATTTTTACTCATTAATTTTAAAATACAAACTAACATCTAAGTGTTCTTTAAAATAGAGGTTTTGGGCTATTTTTACAAAAATACTGTACGTTGGTTTTTACAAACGATATTTCCACAAATGTTTATTATAAAATGTATCTAACGTTTCAAAATGTAGTTTTTGTGTTAGTTTTACAAATTGGGGTTCGGGTTAAAAAAGACTAAATTTAAAAATAAAGGAACTTTTTTCATTTTTAAATAACCATTGCTTAAGCACTAAGTTTTCATAAATATTAAACTACAACAAAAAGTAGTAGAGTTCTTCTTGCAAGGAAAACTTAAATTGCGTTTTCTATTAACGTAGCTCTAAATAGCTTCTAATAAATTTTGTTTTTTGGTATATTTTTGCTTCTTTTAGTATAAATTACTGATTTATAGAAAAATAGTGTGTTATGGAACAAATAAATAAATCAAATAAATTTGAACAAAATTATGTGAATCAATAATAAAAATACTTTTTAAAGTTCGCCATCACTAACAGAAATTTAATATTTAAAAGATAGTATCAGGGTTTTTTAGATTTACCATAGTAAACATATCTGTTGACATATCTAATTTATTTTCGAGCAACATTTGACGAAAGTAACTAACGCATGATCACTACGTAGAATATCGAGAGATTGGATCAGTTTTCAATATATTTAATGTCCCATAATCAACGAAGTTTGATTGCACTATTAAAATGTCAAACCCATGCCACCAATATTTTTCCTCTTGATTAACTTATCATTGACATGCATTCTATGTATAAACGCATTATTATTTAATGGTTTTACATCCTTTAATAACAATAGAAGTTGACGGTAAAGTGTGATTTTTATGCAAATTAGCACTTCTACTACTTAAACCCTCACTTGTGTAACTCGAAGGATCGGTATGTCTCGTTTATACGTTGCGAATAACTTATTTTACTTTATAGTTATCAATTAAAATTAATTTATTGAATAAATTGTAAAAAAATTATTGCGTTCGTATAAAATGTTAGCTGTAAAAATCATTTTATTAATTACAAAATCACGGGTCAGTGATTTTCAACTAACTATGGTAAAACTGTTGATTTAATTTCATAGAATAATTAAATTTACTCAAAAACCATTTTCTTCTATTTGTTTATTACCATCTACTGTATTATTTTTATACTTTTAGCTTAACTGCAAAGATACTTTTTCCATTACAAATTTTTATTTGCATTTTATTTTATTACTTTGAAGTTTGATATCTTTTTCGTGTTATTTATCCTTGTCCCATGTTTCAATATATTTAAATAACGATTTCAATTTAATAGTCTTACTATGTTTTTTACTCTTATCAACTCGTAAAATGAAGGCAATTAACTAGTTTTGTATACTCCGAGTATAAAAATAAGACTAAATATACAATATATTGATTAAATTTGTCTTATTATTTATACATATTCTTTAGTTATTATTTAAAAATTAGTATTATAACACTACAATTGAATTTATTTAGAACTCCGTTACTTTAGGAAGAAAAAGAATCATCATTATTCAAAAATATATCTTAAAAGTATGCGAGGTTCATGTCGGAAGTTAATTTCAAAACTTCTCGCAAGTACGAGCAAACAATAATGGTGTTGGTATAGTCGAGTCATCTTGTTAAGCCATCTGTGTACCAACCTTTTATTAGGGGTTAAATATAGACAATTTTACGATGTTTTTTTATTATTTCCGTCGTGTTATAGTTGATAACAAAACCGGTTTTGTGTACATGCATTACATTTTGAAGCAATACGAATTTATTGATTTAATAACGACGCGCATTTATTTTATGTAGTATGAAATACAAAACTTAGTACCAGCCTCATTTTTTATAAAGAGTAATGAGATATTTCTGATAATTCTTATTACTCATACAATGTATATGTAATTGTCGCGGTAGCGGTAAAGCTACGATAACGAAATTTACTTTAGCAAATTTAATTGAACTTTTTAGGTTAATATTAGAGAATAATAATATTAAAGAAGTAAAAACGATGATTTTTTTATCCAAACATAAAATAATTTTCACTGTGATAATATCATATGAGCGTGGATACTGTGAAAAACTCAGACTGTTCGTTAACCGGTGGACGGTCACCTGTATGTTTATATGTCAACGCCGCCAGTCGCCGATGATTGATAAGACATTTCGGGTTTTGGGCCATTTAAGAAGGCACGACACGGTCGGCGTATTATCATCTTGATTCGGATGATATTCAGTTCAGTGCGACGGTCATACTACGACTGCGTCACAGTACAGCAGAAAACTGTTCTAAATTTGTAAATCTTTGACTAATGTAACAACTGTAGTATTTATACTAAGAGAGTAAAACATTAAGAATTGATCACTTGTGGCTAATATCATTTAACTCATAATTTCATATATTTTTCTTGCAAAAATTATTTTTTAACTCTGCGTTTCTTTATTAATTTTTCATCATTAAAAATTACTCAGTCATTTAATAAATTCTCTTCGTTACTTATTTGAGGTATGTCAAGTGAAATGTTGTTGGTTTGAAAGTTGGAAAGATTCTATCAAAAAAAAATCATGGTAACATATAGATTGTATTTATTTTTTAATTTCAAAGTGTAGCTGAAAACGTATTACAATAATTGTAATTATTGTTTATAACAGTGTGTTTTTCTAATAATTAAAACTATTAATTTTCAGTTTGACTATGTCCTTAAATCATTTTTTTTTATTGTCATGTATACCTGTTGCATTTTAAGCACTTCATATTATACTAAATGCAAATTTTATCCTATCATTCTCCATGTCTGCCCTATGGGTGCACAAATGGGTGACAGAGAGGGCAGATGTCCCTCTTGTTATTTTGATTGTTCAATTTTCTTAAAATTAAATTTTTTAATTGTATTATGAATACCAGGATTGTGAGTATTGTTTTTATGGATTAATAACATGTTGGTTTGGTTTTTTATTTATTAAATTTATAGAGACTCTTGATTTTATAAATAATACATAACAATACCAAAAAATCTTATTTATCATTTTTTTTCTGCAAAGCCAATAGACACCAATTAAAATAAAATTTTTGAGAATGCTACTTGTATTTTCTCCCTACCCTAAAAAACACTATACAATTATACACATTATATGGAGTGTTCAGTAAATTAAGAAACGGGTTTCTATTGTTCTCATTGTTTATAACAATTTACCTGTCTCCTTAATTACTGAACACCCTGTATATTTTTATTAGAAAAAATACATAATTTTTTAGGAAGCTTTGTTAACTGAGATGACTAAATTCTATCGTATTGTGCTATTAGTGTTGGCCTCTAAAAATGCGCCGTTTTCTGGCTGAGTACCCCGGTCACCTCTCTTAACTTCAACACTAAGTGTATTGTGCAAACAGCGAAACTAAATATTTAAAAAAATATTTTGCCCCTCTTCATAAAAAATTTCTAAAGCTCTCAACCAGCGTTTTTAAAAAAACGGTCTGTACCCAGACTTTTTAGCATAAAAAGGAAAATCATTTATCTAAAAGAATATAGCTGGTGTGTAAATATTTGATCAGCGACGCAGTGCGGGGCGTTTGATGAATAATCGTTTTAATTACCCTGGGACACCACCAGATTCCATGTGATTAGCAAGCGTGACATCATCACTCCAAACGTCGAATTGCCACTTCCTTAGTCCTAACACACCGCATAAAACGTTTCCCGTATGTATACCGATTCTCATGTCTACATTGAAACCTGCCGCTTCTCTGACGAACCTTATTAAACAGAAATAAAAATATATTGTTAAACAAACGTTAATCTTACAATTTATTAGTTAATGAAAATCTCGTTAATATGGAGTCGCTTGACATACAGTGAAAGTGCAACTTTTGGAATAGTTAGCTATTCAAGTCGTATAGGTTTTAGCATCTACAAATCTATTATGTAAGCTTGACGTGTACTGAATAAAACATATTTTGAAGCTAAAGGAATTATAATCACTAATAACAGAATATATATTTTATGAATTACAGAGTTTTTAAATTAACTGGTTGAGGTCGGCAATGCATTATTAATCAATCGAATTGGAAAGGTAGTATGTCTGTACTGTGCTTTTAAAATAGATTATAAATGCCAAAACCTCTATAGTCAACTCAGTGGCAAAAAAGTGTTATTGAATTACACCAGAGATGTACCCGTTTCAGAAACGTTTAATTGAAACTTTTTACGAAAATATTTATGAATCAGTATAAATATAAAACCATTGGTTTTATATCAAAGCCCAGCTTCGACAAAATCTTTATATGATCGTCCCTGAAACGTTATTTTATACTCTGCTCTCACTCTAAATCAACAGAAACTAACATAACTGTACCTCTTTATGAAAATAATTATAAAACACTTTGGCTATCAATTCACGTCAAATTGTTATTTATACCTAAAGGTATATATTACATTTATGTTTTAAAACAGGCGGAATAAATAATCCAAATTAAATAATAAATGGAATAACTTTGAAATGTTTACTTTATTATGACATTACTTTAAAGATTAAAGAAATATTATAGTTTTTTTGTTTAATACATTAACAGTACATATTTAATAAAATATTTATAATAAATAACAAACACAAATTTCATAATTAGTTTTTTCTATGTCCGCGTAAGAATAATAACACTTTACCGAGTTTTGTAATGTGCGCAGGACTTGAAATCGTCTATATATTTACAAAAATTAAATAAAAAGTTTGAAAACCCGTATGACCAATAAATAAACTCACAAGAATAAGAAATATTAATATCATTTCAAATGTTATGTAATGAAAGTCACACAGACATACCTAATTACTTTGACTTACAATGTCCGCATAATATCAATAAAACAAATATATGCACAATATTTATATTTTCACATTGGTTTCAATCAATTAAATTATTAATGGTTATTCTCAAACTTTAATATAATTTATTTAGCAGTTATTTATCTATTTTTTATTGGGAAAGTGAACGATTATTTGTTATTTTTCACTTGGATATTGAATGTTGTTATTGTGTTAATTATGAACGATTTAAAAATTGTTTACTGAGCAGTAGTTTATCTTATGGTTATTATTGTGATCGCATCATACAAGTTATAAGCGTAATTGTGTAAAATATTCACCTAATAGCTTCGATCATTTGCAAGCCCATGTTGACACAGTTGTATGCGTGATTTGGCCGGGACACGGGTAATCCAGAAACACAATAGTAACAATCACCTAAGATCTTAATCCGCATGCATTGATTATCCTAATAATAAATAATAAATATTCCATAGTACATGTGTTGCATATGTCATTGTATTTTAGAATCTTAGAACTTAATTAAATATTATATATTTTTGTGTATACTTCACTGGTAATTTTTACTTTGCTTGATTATTACAGTTTATTTTTATTTTTTTTTATTAATTGAAATTCATATAAATATTTTTTGATCCTATTGAGTGTACAAAAAGATACTTATAATAAATAATACGGTTTAAAATACTTTTTTCCGTATTAGTACTTTTTATTTCTTTTTGGTTACAAATGAGTTTTACAATAACCTTTTAAAATTCCATTCTACTCCCTTGAAGATACGAGGTGCATTTGAGCATGTGATTGCTTAAGCTGTTATTATTTATCTGCTTATTGTTGAAAAACTACAATAATAAACAAGTTAACTAAAAAAATTTACATATCAGTTGGCAATTATGAATGGAAAATATTCAATAAATCTCATACACAAACTTTAAAAAGTTATACCTTGTTTTTTGCAAAGATTGCTTTTTAGCTATAATTATTTGTCGAGTAAAATTTTGGAATAATTCATTTAAGATAATTATAATAAACCAACATTAATTATTAACAATTAAAATTTAAATAATTGCTATTTCGAAAAATAACCATAATTATTTTTACATATATTCATAAAAAAATTCCCCATAGTCATTTTTCTCGTTTTACAATGAAACTTGTACAAAGAATGTCTAATATTTTCAAATATAACTTATACAGTCTAATGTCTCTGATTCATTATTACTAATTTAAGGTAATTCATTGTTATATTTTTAATTAAAAAGATGAACAGTTTTTATTTTTGAATGTGTTGGGATTAGTAGAATATTTTTTTTTTAATCAGCAATTCAGTTGATAGTATTCCAAATTTCAGTTATATCAAATATCAATACATAAAATTTACTAAGAATTTAGTTCAAATCACTTACTCCGTTAAACTTTTTGGTCGTATTAAATAGCCTATACTTAGACTGATTCAAAAATACAATTATTTTAAGATATTTTAGTATTTTTAAGTATTATTAATTTTTTATTGAAAGCTTCGAAACTGCAGTATAGACGTTACAATTTGAAATATGTATATAGTTATTAATAATTAATAATTATAATTATTATAAGTAAACGTTAAATTACATTTATTAAAACTTATTGTAAATTCTCATTAATATAACTTAAATTGCAAAATTTGATTACACTCAAATAAATTATCAATACTTTTTAAAAAAAATATTATGCTGTATTGTAAGATCCAAGTGGTATACAATTTTTAAAAGTAATTATATGTGTAAAAACAAAATATCATACCTGAGCTATTTGATCAAATCGACCAAACAATTCATTGAGTGTCTTGACGAGATCAGATGCCGATAATTGTTCAGACAAGGGAGTAAAGTTAACTATATCTGCATATAAGATACTTAAAAAAAAAATTATTATTTTTATTTTTAAATATGCAATAACTTAGTAAAAAGTAATGTATTTTAGTACGAAAAAAAATGAAATTATCTTATATAATTTTATTTGTAATATATAATATATTTTTAATAATGAAACTTTGATGAAATCCCACAATACTTACTATAGAGTAAATATTATAAGGTTTTTATTAAATAAAATTATTTTTCATTATTATGACAAATAACTTTTTTTCTAAGTATAAAATCAACAGAACGTATTATCTGTTTTTGTAGTTTATTGATTAAAGGTTTTTTATCACACGGCACCATGGATATGCAATTTTAATACATTGCTGATACCATGAAATATTTATTTATTTTTTATATCAAAATATTATGGAATGTTTTTCAATCACAATTTATTTTAATATCTTATAGTGTACTTTAACGATAAGATAAATATTATTTTCATAATATTGATTATAAATTTAATATGGTCGCTTACTCAATAAAATTATTATACAAACAAGTAAATAAGAAATTGCTATTACTCGAGAGTTTATGAATTGCAATGTTAATATGATGGGTTCTATCTCGAAATAATAGAATTTTCAGAAAATAATTTTTTAAACATACATTTTTATATAATAATATTATTCTAAAAATATAAAAACTTGATTGATTATCTAATCAACTGAATGTTTTTTTTAAATGCTTAAAATTAGTATGAGCCAATATTTTGTTTTATCAAAAATGAATTCAAAGAAAAGTTTCTCAATTCTTAAAAAATAGCATAATTAATAAAAAAGGTAAATATCTATATAGAGTAAATTTAGGTTAATACAAATTCTAATCTCTAGCGGAAGTATTTAGAGGTATTTAATGATAGGTATGCAATTATGAGAATGGCATTTGGTAGTTTACTTCAAATAACAGGTAAATTAGTACAAACAAATATGATTAAAAGACATAAAAAATATTTTCAATCAGAATTTTTTAAAATTAGTTTAAGGGTAAATAAATCAGAAAATAACACATTAAAATAATGAAGTATATCTTTATTTATTTGAAATTATATTCTTATATCTTACCTTACATTATTGTGTCTTTGAACATACATTTCGTGGAATCTTGTCTGTTTGTTAGTCACATCGTCTTGACATGCATCCGCCATCTTTAGCATAATACTTCTTTTCACCTATAACATAAATTCACTTAAAATGTTTTACTTAAAACGTACAAGTATCAGATGATTTTTTCTAATTTAGTGAACGACGAATGTATTTCTAGCAAACTTTTTACATTCAAAAGTATTTTGCATTTATAAATGCTTGTTATTTAATTTTGATGTTGACAATTTTTTTATTACCCATTTTTAATATATGATCTATAAGAATAATCTATCTAAATATGAGAAAAACTTATCGTTTTATACATCTAATAATATTTTAATAAAATGGAAAACCATTGGTTTTTACTTATTGGACTCTTTTTATTAATTGTGTATTTACAGTTGGACAAAAATTATATACATTTATTTAAGCAATGAAAGATGAATTACACTATTTTTCAATATTCTATTTAATCCTCTAGATCCCCGATCAGTACGGCTTCATACACATAATAATCCAAATGCATTCACATATGTTTTATAGCAAATATTTTTAATATGATACATCGAATCGTAAAAATAGATATTTATATAAACATAAATAAGACATGTCGTAAATATGCTGGTATTTATTAGGAAATAAAATATGATGCATGAAAACGCGTTATCAATTTAGACGAATATTGAATTTTATATTTAGAATATATAAAATATTTGTTAGTTTTTTTAGTTATTGCAAACAAAACATTGAAGGTACAGTCTATTTGTACCATATTTAAATTATTAATAATTTTGGCCTATTTTTCAGTATAGTTTTACTTCAGAATCAGTATGGCAAAAATACATATTTTTTTTTAACGATTAAATTATACTATAGTAAAAATGAAACTAAAAAAATGAATAAAATTCAAAAGAGTAAACAGTAGTTTTATATTAATTTAATAATATTATTCTTTTAGCTTCGATGCGAAGCTGAGAAGGTATTGGTTTTACTAAGATGTGTTTTTTTTTTTTTTTTTTTTTTTTTTTTTTTTTTTTTTTTTTT